ATTATACTAATAATTTTCTTTTTTTATTTAGCTTAGTATTCTTCCTATTATAAGAGGTAAAAGTTAAAAAGTAAGGTTTAGGGTAGCGGGGCAAAATCACCTTGCCCGGAACTTATGCCACCCCACTGTAGGCGCCCCGCCTAGCTTCAGCCAACGGGTAGGTATCTATATGTGATAAGATCTTTTCGTGACTTAGTGTTTCAAGATAGCGTGGTGTGATTTCAGCCACGAGGTATTGGCAAGCCAAGCTGAGCTCGAACGATGTTTTTCGGCAGCCAATGCTTTCCTAGCTCGTCCACAATTGGAGTCACCTGCCTTCGAGTCACATGCAATGCATTGACCCAAAAATGCCGAACACTGTAGATCCAATTTTCCCTTTTCCAGGTCTACATCCTTCCTTCCTTCGGCCGTAAACGATTGTCTGAGCTTTATCGGACGGGAGAAGCCGTTCACGCGAAGGGAATTTCCTGCGTAAGTGACTCATATCTCTACATCAATAGGCAAGTTCCGTGGACCACGTGTTGCATGGAAACAGTTGCTGTCGAGGTACCTATGCATTACATTGACTGCGCCTAGAACTGAACACCAACTGTTGTGACAATCGACTTTGCCACTGCACCAATTTGCCAACGCCTGTTGCAATTATGTCGTCCTTCATGAGCATGAACGGAACATATATGTTCTGCGATCCTGACCTGAGCTTCTCTCTGGCAATAACTTGTGCTGGGCCAAGCTGCGGCTCATTTTCAGACTACAATAATCTTACCTGTACTGGATCGGACTCGGAAACCAGGCAATGTAGCAACGACGTTGTGTGTACAGGCTCTGCAAAGTTTCGGTCCGCTTTCAATATCTCCCAATCTAACACAACTAGCCGCCTAACCCAGAATGTTTTCTATAACGGTACGGCATTCGTCTTGCAGCAAGACGCCACGGGCAATGCTACGTTGTCCACTGGGACTGCGGCCACTTCTACGACCTCTACTACGTCAAGCAGCAAGACTGGATCCGCATCGAATCGCCCGTCATATTCCGTGACCTTACTCCTTGTCATGCTGCTACTGGGCTTATTTGTCGCGGAATCCAATGCAGCAGGTCAAGCCGCGACCGCCACCGAGATAGGAGACGCCGTGGAGGGTCTCTTCAAAAACTTCCTGAAAGGCCAACATATTGTCGGCCTCGGCAGAGACATCATCGCAGGGCAATACGAGCACATCGTTACTGAAGCGTGTGGCACTCTCATCAGCAAAGGTGTCGGAAAACTTGCTGGAGTACCCCTTGCCTTTGGACAATGCGAGGAGGCCATGGCCGGCGCCGAAATGTCGGTAGTGGGAAGTTCTCTTGGGCTTGTCCTGCGCTCTTATGCTGGCCTTGGCGGACTCCTCGTCGAAGGCATAACAGCTGCTGAAGAAGCGTCGGTGCTGGCGGCTAGCCCAGTAGTATTTCCTGAGATCTTCATCTTCAACTCGGCCTTGTGCGCTCTTCTGGTTACCGTCCTCGCCGAAGCTGCTCTGGAAAATTCTGCCGAGAGTTTATGTTCTGCTCTCGAGGGTGCGGCTGCAGCGATCAACACAGCCAAGCCAAGCTCGGTAACGCTTTCTACCCAGCACCCCTCGCCTATGACTACAACTTCCTCGGGGCCCACTTCCCATCCGGGCCAGGCTTGCAAACAAATAAATCAACTCAAATCGGGCCTAAAGCTAGCACAGCGAGTAAGTATATATTCAGGCAACGTAAGCCTCTGATTGCTGGTGGTATGCTGACGTGGCTGGCGACTCTAGGCTGTAAGTTCGCCCCCGTGACTGGCGAGGAATCGCATTGAGGGCGGCATCCTGACGTGGACGGCGACTCTAGCTTGTAAGTTCGCCCCCGTGACTTGCGAGGAATCGCATTCCTGGCGGCATCCTGACGTGGCCGGCGACTCTAGCCAGTAAGTTCGCCCCCGTGACTGGCGAGGAATCGCATTGCGGGCGGCATCCTGACATGGCTGGCGACTCTAGTGTGTAAGTTCACACCCGTGACTGGCGAGGAATCGCATTGCTGGCGGGATCCTGACATGGCTGGCGACTCTAGGCTGTAAGTTCGCGCCCGTGGCTGGCGAGGAATCGCATTGCTGGCGGCATCCTGACGTGGCCGGCGACTCTAGACTGTAAGTTCGCCCCCGTGACTGGCGAGGAATCGCATTGCGGGCGGCATCCTGACGTGGCTGGCGACTCTAGGCTGTAAGTTCGACCCCGTGGCTGGCGTGGAATCGCATTCCTGGCGGCATTCTGACATGGCCGGCGACTCTAGGCTGTAAGTTCGACCCCGTGACTAGCGAGGAATCGCATTGCTGGCGGCATCCTGACATGGCTGGCGACTCTAGTGTGTAAGTTCGCCACCGTGACTGGCGAGGAATCGCATTGCTGGCGGGATCCTGACATGGCCGGCGACTCTAGCTTGTAAGTTCGCGCCCGTGGCTGGCGAGGAATCGCATTGCTGGCGGCATCCTGACGTGGCCGGCGACTCTAGACTGTAAGTTCGCCCCCGTGACTGGCGAGGAATCGCATTGCGGGCGGCATCCTGACATGGGCGGCGACTCTAGGCTGTAAGTTCGCCCCCGTGACTTGCGAGGAATCGCATTGCTGGCGGCATCCTGACATGGGCGGCGACTCTAGTGTGTAAGTTCGCCCCCGTGACTGGCGAGGAATCGCATTGCGGGCGGGATCCTGACATGGCCGGCGACTCTAGCTTGTAAGTTCGACCCCGTGACTGGCGAGGAATCGCATTGCGGGCGGCATCCTGACGTGACCGGCGACTCTAGCAAGTAAGTTCGCCCCCGTGACTGGCGAGGAAGCGCATTGCTGGCGGCATCCTGACGTGGCCGGCGACTCTAGACTGTAAGTTCGCGCCCGTGACTGGCGAGGAATCGCATTCCTGGCGGCATCCTAACGTGGCCGGCGACTCTAGATTGTAAGTTCGCCCCCGTGCCCGGCGAGGAATCGCATTGCGGGCGGCATCCTGACATGGCCGGCGACTCTAGCAAGTAAGTTCGCGCCCGTGACTGGCGAGGAATCGCATTGCGGGCGGCATCCTGACATGGCCGGCGACTCTAGCCAGTAAGTTCGCGCCCGTGCCCGGCGAGGAATCGCATTGCTGGCGGTATCCTGACGTGGCCGGCGACTCTAGTGTGTAAGTTCGCCCCCGTGGCTGGCGAGGAATCGCATTGCGGGCGGGATCCTGACATGGCTGGCGACTCTAGGTTGTAAGTTCGCCCCCGTGGCTGGCGAGGAATCGCATTGCGGGCGGCATCCTGACGTGGCCGGCGACTCTAGGCTGTAAGTTCGCCCCCGTGACTGGCGAGAAATCGCATTGCGGGCGGCATCCTGACATGGCTGGCGACTCTAGCAAGTAAGTTCGCCCCCGTGACTGGCGAGGAATCGCATTGCGGGCGGCATCCTGACATGGCTGGCGACTTTAGTGTGTGAGTTCGCCCCCGTGACTGGCGAGGAATCGCATTGCTGGCGGCATCCTGACACGGCTGGCGACTCTAGACTGTGAGTTCGCCCCCGTGACTGGCGAGGAAGCGCATTGCTGGCGGCATCCTGACATGGCTGGCGACTCTAGGCTGTGAGTTCGCTCCCTTGACTGGCGAGGAAGCGCATTGCTGGCGGTATCCTGACATGGCTGGCGACTCTAGGCTGTAAGTTCGCCCCGTGACTGGCGAGGAAGCGCATTGCCGGCGGCATCCTGACATGGCTGGCGACTCTAGTGTGTGAGTTCGCGCCCGTGACTGGCGAGGAAGCGCATTGCCGGCGGCATCCTGACATGGCTGGCGACTCTAGTGTGTGAGTTCGTCCCCGTGACTGGCGAGGAATCGCATTGCGGGCGGGATCCTGACATGGCTGGCGACTCTAGGTTGTAAGTTTGTAAGTTCGTCCCCGTGACTGGCGAGGAATCGCATTGCTGGCGGTATCCTGACATGGCTGGCGACTCTAGCACGTAAGTTCGCGCCCATGGCTGGCCAGAAATCGCATTGCTGGCGGCATCCTGACATGGCTGGTGACTTTAGGCTGTAAGTTCGCCCCCGTGACTGGTGAGGGCTGGCGACTTTAGGCTGTAAGTTCGCCCCCGTGACTGGCGAGGAATCGAAAATGCTGATGCCGCAGTTCACCGTAGTAACTCGGCGAACCAATGGTTACTTCAATTACTTGTTGGTGGAGGTAGCTTTCGGTCGTTGTATGGAGTTCTCCACTGGAGTTTAAGCTCGGCCGACCTTAAGCGGGTTCCTGTCCTTACTGGCTTTCTGATCCTTCAAGGATTGAAGAAGTCTCCTGAATGAGCTCTCGTTACAAATAATGCTGTCTCTATCTGCAAACAGGAGTTTCCTTTTCACAAAAGCTTCCAGACAGCTTCTTCCACAATCCACACATCAATTGCATCCTCATGGTTTGATTAAATGCTTCCGCTATAGTCCATCTCATTCCGACCACTCATTCAGCCACTCTATAAAGTCCTAACTAGATTCCCTCTTTTGCAATTCCTATTTCTGAATAACTCCGCCCCCCTCGATTGACCTGTCTGTGCTATACCATCTTACCCCCACTTTTGGCTCACACCCCCCCTTATGCTCAGGTAAACGACACTAGCCGAAAAAGTATTGATACAGGTCGGGAAGAGGTTTTTTGCGTCAGTTCCTCATCGTAGACAGTTCTTCATCCTTCTTTACTCTGGGATAGGTGTGGCTCTTGCTTGCCATCATGGCAGAGCCTGAAGTGGCGCTCCTGGCGGACGTGGGGGCGGGGCTAGATCCAACTAGCCCGTCGCCATCGACGCGTCCGACGCGAGGGATGACGCCCAGCGGACGCGTGCAAGATACGTTGCGATCACTGGAAAATGCGACCGCAAGGGCTTCGAAGCGAGTCACGACCCGAACGGCGCGGGTCTCATCGGTCGGCAATGAAGGCGAAAGACTTGACGAGGTGAAGTCACGGAGCAGTGTGGAGACCGCCAAATCGATGATGCAGAGGGTTCTAGAGATGCTGGCGAAGATGGGGAACGAGATGGTGGACCTGAAACATCGAGTATCCGAACAAAGCGACACGATCAGGAAGCTGAGCGCGACGGTTTACAAGCAAAGCACCATCATTCAAGGACAGGAAGATCTCATCCGAGGCTTGGAGGCCCAAGTCCAGGAATCCAAGGAAGAGTTTCGACGCAAGAGCGATGAGCACGACGCGGAATTAAAGCGGGGACATCGGGATCTTCAGAGAGAAGTTGTCGCTGTGAAAGAGCAACTGGCCCAGCTTACGCAGAAGCTGAATGCTTCGGGGGAGGTGACTCTGTCAAGCGGCGCTCGAGCAACGTTTGCCGATATTGCGCGCACACTGCCAGCGAGCCCGCCGACCAGTCTATCCAGCGTGGCTGTCCCAAGAAAGCAGCAGACAGCCAGCGATCGTCTCCAATGTACCATCGACACATCTCGCGTCAGCGAGTCGAACAAGAACAAAGCGCAAATCGGATCAATTCGCCAGGCCATCGAGACTGAGGTGAGAGCGAGGAACGGACAAGAGACCTGGAGGTGCGCAGCAGTCGTGAGAGAGTCCCGGAATGCCGACCGAGTCAAGATCGTCTGCAGAGACGAAACCGAGCTTCAGATGGTCAAAGAGGCTGCGCAAAAGACAGCCGTGGAAGGTTCACGAGTTATGCGAGACCAGCTGTATCCGGTCCGAGTCGACAACGCCAACCGGACAGCAATCCTTGACGCGGAAGGCAACGTTCTGCCTGGAGCGATTGAGGCCCTGAGCGCCGAAAACAGAGTGACCATTGGCAAGATTTCCTGGTTGAGCAAACGAGAGTCCGGCAAAGCGTACGGATCCATGGTGGTGTATGTCACCAAGAAATGCGATGCAGAAAGACTCCTGGAGGGCTACTACTTTGACCTAGCGGGAGAGTCTGCTACGACTTATGTGTTCGAGCCAAGAACGGGACCGATCCAATGCTTCAACTGCCAGGAGATCGGCCACAAAGCATATTCATGCAAGAAGCAGCGGACATGCGGCAAGTGCGCAAATGTTGGGCATCACCACAACGAGTGCACAGCAATTGAGCCAAAATGCGTCCCGTGTGGCGGACCGCACGAGTCGTTCAGCTGGAAGTGTAGGATGAGGAACCCGAGCAGTGATGCTTGAGTCCCTCCGCATCCTACAGCTGAATGCGCACAAGAGTGATGTGGTGCAGCAAAGCCTGATGAACGACGCAGGCCTCAAGGACTTTGCTGTGCTAGCTCTTTCTGAGCCGTATGCGCGTGTTATCGACGGAGAGGTGGTGACGAGCCCTATGGGACACCATAACTGGACAAAAATGATACCGACATGTACTCGTGACGGCCTGTGGCCGATTCGTAGCATGCTTTGGATTCGAAGTGACCTTGAGGCGGAGCAAGTGCCTGTGCCGTCGGCCGATCTCACAGCAGTGGTACTCCGACTCGAGGGGAGGGAAGTGATGGTGGTATCAGTGTACGTGGAAGGAAAGAACGACGAGGCGCTGACGAGCGCGATGGAGCTGTTGCGCGACCTGATCGATCGCTTCCGTGATGGGACAGGAAACCGCACAGATGTGGTTCTGGCGGGAGACTTCAACCGCCACGATCTCCTCTGGGGCGGAGATGATGTGTCACCAAACAGACAAGGGGAGGGCCAGCCCATCATTGACCTGATGAACGACTTTGGTCTCAGCAGTCTTCTCCGCCGGGGTACGAAAACGTGGCAGAGGCTGGACGAGGAGAGCACCATCGACTTAGTGCTGGCGACGATGGAGCTGGCGGACGAGGTGACATCCTGCATGATTCACCCGACAGAGCACGGATCGGACCATAGAGCGATCCAAACAACCTTCGACATTCGAGTGCCGGAGCGTACCTTTCCGCAGCGCCTGATGCTCAAGAACGCGCCGTGGATCGCCATCGCAACCAGGGTTGAGGACGAGCTTCGGCCTCTTCCGTGGGATGTGGGGGTGCAGACGCAGGCGGATCAGCTCATGCGGGTGGTCACCGAGGTGCTTCATGATTTGACGCCTCGAGCACAGCCGCCGCCGTACGCAAAGCGATGGTGGACAAAGGACCTGACGCGTTTGCGGCAAATGTACACGTATTGGCGCAATCAAGCAAGGGCGCAGCGAAGAGCAGGTCAATCGCGGCCGGATCTGGAGCAGCGGGCCAAGGACGCTGCCAAGGAGTACCACGACAACCTGCGGAAACAGAAGAAGTCCCATTGGGACGACTTCGTCACCGACGAGAACAACATTTGGAAAGTGGCCAAGTATCTGAAACCCGGCGCGGATATGTTCGTTGACAAGGTGCCGACGTTGAGGAGAGCCGACGGCTCGATCACCAAAGGTAAAGCAGAGCAAGGCGAGGAGCTCCTGAGCACCTTCTTCCCGCCTCTGCCAACCATGATCGAACGGGAAGGTGAGCGTCCGCAAAGAGAAGAGGTAACCATGCCCGACCTCACCTTGCAAGAGATTGAGGAAAAGGTGATGACGGCCAAGTCTTGGAAAGCACCTGGAGAGGACGGCCTCCCTGCGATTGTATGGAAGAAGCTCTGGCACGTGGTCAAGCATCGGGTGTGGACGCTGTTCGACTCGTCGCTTCGAGAGGGCGTGGTGCCCCACCAATGGAGGACGGCCAAGATCATTCCGCTGAGGAAGCCGGATAAGGACGATTACAGACTGGCCAAGGCGTGGCGACCGATCTCGCTGCTGTCAACGCTGGGCAAGATCCTCGAAGCAGTCGTTGCAGAACGTATCAGCTATGCAGTCGAAGCTCATGGGCTGTTGCCCGCGAACCACTTTGGTGCACGGAAACGCAGGTCGGCAGACCAAGCACTCGCGCTTCTGCAGGAGCGGATCTACAAGGCTTGGAGAATGGGCAGGGTTCTGAGTCTCGTCAGTTTCGACGTCAAAGGGGCGTACAATGGAGTGTGCAAAGAGCGGCTGCTTGAAAGGATGAAGGCTCGAGGCATTCCGAGTCGCCTGGTCAAGTGGGTAGATGCCTTCTGCTCGGAACGGACCGCATCAGTGGTTGTCAACGGGTACACGTCGGAGCAGCAAGCCCTGGCGCAGGCCGGCTTACCCCAAGGATCTCCACTATCACCGGTGGCATTCCTGTTCTTCAACGCGGACCTGGTGCAGAGGCGAATCAGTAACAACAGTGGCTCCATTGCCTTCGTGGACGACTACTCTGCCTGGGTCACTGGGCCAACGGCCGAGTCGAACAGATATGGTATTCAGTCGATTATCGATGATGCGCTTGATTGGGAGAAGCGCAGCGGCGCCACGTTTGAAGCGAATAAGACGTCCGTCATCCACTTCACACGCATCGCAGAACGCGACAGCGACTCGCCCTTCGCCATCAGAGAGAATGATGTCAAGCCGAAGGAGAATGTGAAGCTTCTGGGAGTCATCATGGATCAAGCACTCCGCTTCAAGGAGCATATCGCCGGAGTAGCCGCCAAGGGGCTGGCCGCCGCCATGTGCTTGAAACGACTGAAGATGGCCTCGCCACAAACGGCGAGGCAGCTATTCATTGCGACCGTAGCGCCGACCATGGACTATGCCTCCAATGTATGGTCGCATGCATGCAAGACAAAGGAAGCAGCGTGGATCGAGAGGGCCCAGCGAGTCGGGGCCCAGGCTGTCACGGGAGGCTTCCGCACAGTGGCAACAGCAGTGGCCGAGGCCGAGGCCAGCGTGCAGTCATTCCGAGAACGGCATGCCCAAGCGGCAGCGAAGTTCTGGATAAGGATGCGCACGCTACCGAAGACGCATCCTCTGACATCGTTAAGGCTCAAGCTGCACAAAAGGTATGCTTCGCCGATGCAGAAGCTCGCCTCGGCAATGGAAAGACTAGATACCAAGCGCCTGGAAACCATCGACGAGTTCGCACTCGCGCCATGGGATGAACGAGTGCAGGCAACTTACGAGGCAGACCGAGTAGAGACAATGAGGCCGGATGACCCAGAGGATATCACTATCGCGACGTCCAGTTCACAAAGAAAAGGCAAGGTCGGGTTGGGAGGCGTCGTTCGGGATGCTTCCTGCGACAGCGCAGACGGGGTGCTGGCCAGCTACTCCGTCACCCTCGGCCCCAGCGATGAGCAGAATGCCTACACAGCAGGACTCGAGGCAATCGCCACGGCCCTGAGGTGTGTACCTCTAGGTCTCCGTGATCGAGATCTCACAGTTGTGACGAGCAATCGTTCTGCCCTGCAAGTCATCGGGCGGCCGCGGCAGCAGTCTGGTCAATGCACGATACGGGCGATATACGGATCTGTTGAGTTCCTAGCGAAAAGAGGCTGTAGTGTCAGATTTCGCTGGGTGCCTGCAAGGGACGAGGAGTTCACTCTCGGGCCACTAGCCAAAAGGCAAGCGAAAAGAGCAACGCGAGATGAATGCGTCGCCGAACCAGCAACGTTTCAGGCCAGGTCAACGACGTTACGATTGCTGCTCAACGGACTCACTCGAGTCCGTCAGATTGCAGAAGGAGTTGGCAAGTACTCGAAGCGCATCGATAAGGCATTGCCGGGCAAGCACACCCGCAAGCTGTACGACGAACTGACAAGAAAGGAATCCGAAGTGCTGATACAGCTTCGAACTGGCAAATCGCGGCTGAATAGCTACCTCTGCAAAATCGGGGCAGTGGAGTCGGATGAGTGCATTTGCGGACAGTCGGCAGAAACAGTGGAACATTTCCTCTTTCGATGCAGGAGATGGACGGCACAACGAGAGATCATGCGTCGATATGCAGGCGGAAAGATGGGAGACCTGTCTTTCTTCCTAGGAGGCAAGGCAGAGGCGGACGATGACAAGTGGCAGCCTGATATGGGGGCTGTGCGGGCGACAATACAGTTCGCATTGGCAACAAAACGCTTCAGAATGGACCGGTAACGGACCATGTGCTGATCAAGAACAACCATACTAACACAACAGCCTTCAACTTGGCAGACCGCGCTTCAGTCGCTGAAGGTAGGACGCTGAACACTTGGAGAAACTGACCTTCAAGTAGGCCTGTCATGTCATAGCGAACGAGGCTGGAATCAGATGAAAGAAGCGTGGGGCTTTGGGTGAGATGCAACCATGTACAGAAGGTAGATAGGCTAGCGTAGTGGCTCTATGGGGGAACCCTCCGGGCGTAATACAAGCAAAAAAAAAAAAACGACACTAGCCTCACCAAAACTCCCAAACTTGAACTGCTTGTATTCCGATGAAATATGATGATAAGTACATAAAAACCATCTCATTTGAAAGAGAATTGAACATATTACTCGATTCTTGGCCTATTGATCACGCGACCCGGCCGGGTGGTGCACCGAGGAGGCTCAGGTACCTTGACTTCAATCACCGAAGCCGTCTCCGTCTCCGTCTCCGCCTCCTTCTCTGACAAGCCGCAATCCACCACAACAACCCTCTTTGGACTCCCGATTGTTGGCACAGTCTCTCCAGACGCCAGCGCTTCTGCGAGACTCATGAAGTCTCGCAAAGGTTAAAAATAGGAAGGTAAGAGTCAATCTGGTCATTGTCGTCTATCTAAAATGAATGTAAGAAGTTCTGTCTTTGTTGGCAGGCCTCTGCATATGCAAAGAGTTGGGGTTAACCGGTGTGTTTTTGTATTCGTCTTGTCTTTGTTGCTAGCTAGGTGAGGGGAGGCCACCGTGGTGGTTGTGGTTACCTCAGCAGCGCTCAGGCCATTTGTGGGGCATACTAACGTAATCCACCCCCTTCCCGGTCAGACCCCCTACTCGGTCAGAAAAAGTCTCCACGCGGCGACCCACACTTATGGCAAGACAAACCGAGCACTATGACGGCAACGGGAGACCAATCGGTTCCACGCGAAGAACGGGTCCTGCTCGCCGTCAGGGCCTATCAGCAGGGCCAATTCAAAAGTACCCGCAAGGCTGCGGCCGCATACGACGTCCTCAATCGACAGTATCTGATCGACTGCGCGGTGTCATTCGCCGACGCGACGCTCAGATGAACAACCTGAAGTTGACGGCGACGGAAGAGACTGCCCTGGTACAATGGATCTTGTCGATGGACGAGCGAGGAATGCCGCCGACAGTGGCTTACACTCGTCGGATGGCCAACTTATTGCTTTCCGAGCGAGGCAAAGATCCTGTCGGGGAAAACTGGGTGCGGAAGTTTGTTGGCCGCCACGGCGAAATCAAGGCAAAGTACTCGCCGATACGACTACCAACGAGCCAAATGCGAAGACCCCAAAAGATCCAAGGATGGTACGATCGAGTCGCGGCGACGAAACAGAAATGGGGATTCTTGACGAGGATGTCTATAACTTTGATGAGACGGGGTTTCAAATGGAGTCGCTGCAACGGCGAGAGTCCTTACCCGGTCTGACCGGCGAGGTCGGGCAGTACTCACGCAGCCTGGAAATCGAGAATGGGTTACTGTGATCGAGTCTATCAACTGCCAAGGTTGGGCTTTACCGGCGAAGGTTATCTTCCAGGGCAAGTTACACCAAGCAAGCTGGTACGAATCAGGAGTGCCCGATGACTGGCATATCGCCGTTAGTGAGAATGGCTGGACTTCCGACGACCTTGCTTTGAATTGGTTAAAGGAAGTCTTTGATCCGAATACACGGCGCCGTACGGTTGGTACGCATCGACTTCTTATTCTCGACGGGCACGGCAGTCACGTCACGCCGGAATTTGACAAGTACTGTACGGCCAATTCCATCGTAGTACTCCAAATGCCTGCACATTCCTCACATCTCTTGCAGCCTCTTGATGTCGGGTGCTTTTCGCCGTTGAAAACCATATACGGCCGAAAGGTTCAAGAGAAAATGCTCGCTGGGATCCATCATATCGACAAGCAGGACTTCCTTCCCATGTACTTAGACGCTCGCTGTAACGGTCTCAACTGAGTGTGTTGACAACTAGCTGAGCGACTGCGACGAGTATCCTAAAGCTAAGGAGAAAAGAAGAAGAAAAGAAAAGAAAGGAAAGCTCTCGAAGATGGCACGAGCTTATAAGCGGAGCTCCGGTGGGTCTTGTCGAGAGCGGAGCCGAGACCCTCACGGGCTCAGCCCGTTACAATAACCCCTCCTTCCTCCCCGTTTCGATCGTTTCGATTGGGGTGGTTTCGATCCAACTTTCCCATGAACTTCTTCATACCTAGCCAGTGCTATTGTGTCTGCGACGTACTTGACTGGCTCCACGTCGGACCTATCCATCCGACCCATTTCACCAACACTTTCCACTCTCTCCCGACTTTCTTCCTGTCCAGAATCTCTTCCACTTCCCACAGCTCGCCATCGTCCGTCAAAATGGCCGGTGGGCGGTAGTCATCCGACGTCTGTGACGGTAGCGGATCGTCCGCTGCTAAGCGTAAGAGCGACACGTGGAACACGTTGTGTATTCCCGGAGGCGTGTCCAGCCTGCGCGTGTGACCCAATGGTCTCCAGGACGGTGTACTTGGCCGACAGCCAATCGAGCTTCTTGGATGGCCGATTGGATCGGATGTTGCGAAGTCGCAGCCATACCTTGTCTCCAGGCTTGAACTGGTCTGACGGCTGTCTTCGCGAATTGGCGTTCTTCTCTTGCTGCTCTTGCGCTGACGCAATTGCCGCCTGGGCCCATTCCGTTGCCTCTCGAAATCGTTGCACAATGCTTTCAGCCCTGGTCACTGGGGACCTTCCGTCCGTCCGTAACTTCTCCTTGACTTGTATCGGGTCAACATGATACCCATGCGTGATAAAGAACGGGCTCAGGCCTGTCGACGTCGAGTTGTGATTGTTGATGGCCATCATGGCCGCTGGCAACAGCTCTTCCCAGTTATCCTGAGCATAAGCAGCAAAGATCCTCAGATATCTCTCGACTTCCTGATTCGCCCTTTCTGTTGCACCGTCAGTCTCGGATGCCACGCCGTAGACAATCTTTGCTTCACGCGTAGCAGCTCGCAGAGCCTCTGCCATAGTCTACTGGTGAATTGCGTGCCACGGTCAGTGACGATCGCGCGCGGCACGCCATGGTGTTGCACCACGTTCCGTAGCAATGCTCTGGCCGTCGTCTCGGCCGTGATGTCCTTCAATGACTCAAGAACGACACTTTTGGACAGTCTGTCCGTCACGACCATAAGGTTGGTCGAACCGTTCGACTTGGTTGGTGGCAGGTCTGTCACAAAGTCAATTGACAGCTCCGACCAGATCCTGTCTGGAATAGGTAGCGGCTTCAATAAACCGCGACGCTTCTCTCGCCAAATGTTGCTTCGGCCACACACATCACAATTTCTCACAAATTGACGCACGTCTGAATCGAGGCCTGGCCAATAAAACTTGCGGCTCAACAAGGACTTCAGCATGTCCCGTCCGGGGTGTCCTGCAAGCGTTGAGTCATGCGTCTCCTGCATAAGCCGCGTGCGCAGGGTTCGTGGTTCGGCACCCAAATTCGCTCTCGCCAGCAGAGCCGCTGTCCATCGTCAATCGAGCATTCCGAGAGCATCACGGGCAGTCCCCAATGCGACGGCAGACGCCTCTCGCCTTGCTGTACGGCCTTTCGGATGAGCCAATAACGATTGTGCTTCTTGACACCTTCGTCCCATAACTTCTGCAGTTCCGGGTCCGAGAAAGGGTTTTCGATTGAGTCGTCTTGGTCAGTTGTTGCGTCATCGGGTTGATCCGTGTCGCCCTTGGTGACATAACCGCTCTTGACTTTTGTCACCAGGCCACCCTTGTTACGTTGCAGCAGCTGAACACGTCGTCCTTGCAACCGATCATCTTCGGCGCTGTGCGGCATGTCCTGTTCTCGTCGAGACAGCGTGTCCGGTACGACGGCTTCTTTGCCCGGTCGATGCTTGATGGTGAAGCTGTACCGCGATAGCGTCTCAGCCCATCGCGCCTGACGTTCACTCAGTTGCTGCTTCTTGGTGAAGTAACGGAGGTTGAGATGATCCGTCAAAACGGTAAAGGACTTCACACTCCTCAATTCGGCGTCCCAATGCTCAAGGCAGCGAATGATCGCCAGCAGCTCTTTATCGTGGATTGGGTAGTTGCACTCCGCCGGTGCGTTTTTCTTTGAGAAGAAGGCCACAGGCCGCATGATGCCGTCATCGCCCTTTTTGCGAGAGCGCCCCCTCCTGTGACATAACCGGATGAATCCGTCTCCACAATCGTCTCTCTATCCGGATCCCATTGCGCAAGGACCGGCGCACTGGTCAGAAGAGCCTTCAACTCCTCGAAGGCCTTGTCGCACTCCTTCGACCACGCAAACACCGCATCCTTCTTTGTTAACGCCGTTAGAGGCGCGGCGATGTTGGAGAATCTGGGAATGAATTGCCGGTAATAGTTGGCAAACCCCAGAAAGCTTCTGACGCCTTTGACAGAACGGGGTCGCTGCCACTGCTGAATTGCCTGCACCTTCTCCGGGTCCACGCGGATACCTTTCCCGGCTTCGACGATGAAGCCCAGGTACTTGACACTCTTTGCCTCAAAGTCACACTTGTCGATATCAATCTGCAGGCCTGCATCTCGCAGTCGAGCAAGGACCTGCCTGACTTTGTTGCGATGATCTGCGAGCGAACCGCTCGAGTAGATCAAGATGTCGTCAATGTAAGCGGAACAGAACTCGTCGAGGAAATCTCGCAACGTGTGGTTTATGTAACGCTGAAACGTTGCGGAGCACCCGTCAACCCGAATGGCGTGACAAGCCATTCGTAGAGTCCGTAACGTGTTCTGAATGCTGTCTTCCACTCGTCTCCTCCTCGACGCGAATCTTGTGAAATGCTGCGATAACGTCAAGTTTGGTGAGCCACTTGGCCTTGGACAGCGACCGCAAAGTTTCCTCGATCAACGGCAAGGGATATCGGTCTTTCTTGGTGATCGCATTCAATCCTCGATAGTCCACGCAAAAGCGCAGACCACCACCGGGCTTCCTCACGAACAAAACTGGTGCTGACGCTGGAGAACTACTTGCTCGAATGAAACCCTTGTCGAGTAGCTCAGTGAGAGTCTTTCGCAGAACAATGAGCTCTTCTCGTGACATGCCGTACAATGGTCCCCACGGCGGTTCTTTCTCCTTGTCATCAGGACTCTCTCTAACTGAATCTTGTGATCACACCCCGGACGACGCGGTGGGAGTTGGTCCGCTTGGTCGCGGTCGAAGACGGATAGGTACTCGTGGTAGTGACGGGGCAGCTTCTCTCGGGTCTGACTTCTTCCTCGGAGTCAATGCCTTCTCAATGTCTTTCAGGCTTGCGGCGAAGATCCGCACTCCATCGTCTCGATGCTTGAACTTTCTTGCTCGGCGAACCATTCCGGCGAACACGAACGCCGCCTGTCCTCGTATGTTGCACCGTTCCTCCTCCTTCGGGTCTCGGCCTTTCACCCAATGGTCGTGCGTCCCGATATGCAAGAGGTTCTGCGATAATCGCAAGGTGACATCCTCCTGGTTCAACCACTTCTTGCCCAGAATCACAGGATCGGTCTGGTCTCGCACAACGTAGAAAAAAGCTCTTTTCTTCTGGTACCCGTCGATATCGAAGTCGAAGTAGGTCACGGCACAGATGGCCTCGGGTGAGAATGTGTTGACCTGCTCCAACGCTCGAGGTTTAATCGGAATACGCGGCAGGTGAAGCTTGCGGGCAAGGCGCTCACTGATGGTCCCATAACACAGGCAACCACAGTCAACGAAGGCCGTGGTGAAATACTCTCGATTGATACCGAAATTTACGTAGAGGCCTTCACAGTCCATCTCGTCCTTCTGAGTTGCCCATTCCGCCTCAGCCTTTGCGCGCTCCTGACGGCGATTTTCGTCAGGAGCTACTCGTTTTCCGAATGGTCATCGGAGGTATCCCCGCTAGAACTCTCCGCGGGCTCTTGGTGCTTTGCTCGAGCTTCTTGTCTTCTCTTCGACACGGACCTTGACTCTCTGCTGCCGCCGCTCTTCCGGGACACTTGGCCGCAAGATGGCCAAGCTTCCCGCACTCGTAACATTTGCGCTCCTCCAACGGAACAAATTGCTTTTCCTCCGGGGCCCTCCTGCCGTTTATCAACCGATTTGCTTTCACGGGTTCCCAATCCATCTGATCATCGGACGGGGACGACGTGGTTGGCGATCCGGGTGACGGGGGCTTTTGTCGGGACTCGAGCGGTTCGGATAAACGACCATACTCCTTTCTTGACCTCTGCTCGCGGCCTTGTTGTCGTTGGTGGAAATTGAGGCTATCTAGGCGCGAGCCAATCGTCAAGAGTAGCTCGGCGTAGCTGTTGAAATCCTTCGGGAGACTGACGGCACTGACGAGACTCGACTTGAGCCTATTATTAATTGCTCCTTCCAAGTAATTGATTTGCACCACGTCGGCCCACTCGCCACCGCCACTATCGGCAAGCTCTTTCTCGAACTTTGGGAAGAAACTGGCGAAACTCTCATCAGGCTTCTGCTTCAACGATCGAAGTCGATCCAGTGCTCGTGCCTTTGCGTTCGGGTCCCCGTACCGACGGTTCAAGTAGTCGAGAAACAGATCTGGGGAGCGAGCACCATCGATACCGCCCTGTTCGTAATAAGCAGCGGCCATGTTCTGGGCTGTTCCCGCCAACCGGGAGTACACATAGGCGAAGAGTGCTTCTTTATTGTCGAATGCCTGTCGGTCCACAGCCAATTTCGCTTTCATCTCTAAGAACCAGGGACGGAAGTTTTTCCTGGTTCCATCGAATTTCGGCGGATCAGGCAAGGTTGGTTTTACCCTCTTTGATGGGATTCTTTCGGATGTCTCGATCGATTGAGGCGTGTTGTCGGACATCGGTTCGATAGGAGCGACTGGTTCATTTGCCGGAGTCGGAGTTGAGACGGCTGTTTGGAGGATTCGGATCTGCGATCGCATCTCTTCGCGTTCGGCCTCTTGGCTTGCACACACACTTTCTAGTTTGTCCATCACTGCAGCCAGGGCTTGCATCATCGATTGAGGCTCAAAAGAACCTTGCTGGGAATCGATTGCCTCCATGACTGAAGATTTTCTCCTCGTCTCTCAGGACTGAGGGCGACTTGATCACACAGCAAGTCTGATACGGAAGGGATATCTCGACAACGGTCGAACGCTATCAACGCCTCGAAGGCTCCTTCCTACACGGCTGGACGTTCTGCACAGGGCTTCTAGTCCAGCTGCTGCCGTCCACACTGGGAGCCAAGCAGCAATCACGTACTTCTCGCTCAACCGCACGCCGTACGGAGAGCAGATTGACGCTCCACGTCCTTTGCTCGGGAGATGAGAGCTACGCGACGCGAGCCAAGCTGGCTTTGGCGCCGTACACACACGCACTTTCGTCGCGGGCGTTCCACACAGGATTGCCCAAGCTACTGCCACTCCGCGTACCCACAAAGGGAACTGAACAGCGCTGCCAATTGATTGTGATCAAAGGCTTTAACGATGAAAGCGGAGCTTTAGGATAATGTAACGGTCTCAACTGAGTGTGTTGACAACTAGCTGAGCGACTGCGACGAGTATCCTAAAGCTAAGGAGAAAAGAAGAAGAAAAGAAAGAAAGGAAAGCTCTCGAAGATGGCACGAGCTTATAAGCGGAGCTCCGGTGGGTCTTGTCGAGAGCGGAGCCGAGACCCACGGGCTCAGCCCGTTACACTCGCCGACAAGCACTTTCGCCGTCGAATATCCGAAGCGGATTTATGGCAACAGGCCTTTTTCCGTTTGACCCAAACAGAGTATTATCGCGGTTACAAGTTCAGGTTGACAAAGTCGGTAACGATCACGGCGACAAGAATACTCCAAGTCCCAACAAGAGCCTGGAAGCAGCCAAGACTCCGCATAACGTCAACCAGCTTACCACTCACGCCGAAAGGCTTCTTCAACGCCGGCCACAAAATACAGACTCGCCAGTTTCACAAGCTATCAACCAGCTTATCAAAGGATGTCAAATGGCCATGCACAGCGCCGCCCTCCTTGCCGACGAAAACCGGCAACTTCGGTCAGAAAACCAGCGGCGAAAGCAGAGAAAGAACAGCGCCGTGAATACATTGGCGACGGCGGTACTCTATCGGTTGCAGAGGGCACGGTTAGGATAAAGCAACGGAGAGAAGAAGAAGAAGAGCGGGTTAAGCGACGGAGAGTGGAAGAAGAGGAGAGGACTAAGCGCCGGCGAGAGAAGGACGAGGAGGCCAAGCGACGACAAGAAGGAGAAGAGCGGGCCGAGCGACGGCGACAAGAGAACGAGGAATGGTTCAAGCTACGGCGAGAAAAGGAAGAGGAGCGGGTCAAGAAACAGAGAGCAAAGGAAGATGAGCGGGCCAAGCGACGGCGGGAAGAAGGGAGCGGGACCAACGACTTATAGAAGAGCTGAGTGTCCCAAGACAGCGTGCACCACCACGGTGTAGTAAGTGCAGGTCTTTTGAACACACTGCCCGTACGTGTAATAGATAGTCCTAATCGAGTTACTTGTCTCTTGGAGTAAATATGTCGTGGTATTGTGCTCCGTTTGTCTCGCGTAAGGTGCGGGTCTAGTCGGTGGGGAATTTTTGACCGAGTAGGGGGTCTGACCGGGAAGGGGGTGGATTACGTTATACCTAATCGGTAAGTCACATGCACTCCTCGAGCAAATGGCTTACCTCAGCAAGCTCAGGCCATTAAGGTCGTGCCTCAGGCATCGAACCAGGCTATACCTAATCGGTACGGTCCTCGACCAAATGGCCTGAGGATTCTGTCATGGATTTTTGGCCTGAGTCAAGATCTTTTATTCAGTCCGAAGGACTGTTATATGGAAGCGATTCAAGCACCTCAACCTCGTTTTCCCCCACCACAAGCCATCGCACGGCGGAATTGACGTGCTCAGTCGAATTCCCTATCATTATTTGAAAGCCCAGTGAAATCTGAACGATGCCAGATCAAAACCCCCGCCGGCGGAGCGCACGATTGAATTCTACTACTCCGCAAAGAAAAGAACGTCCACGAATTGCTGTTTCGGCTGTGCCCGGTCGCCGTCGCGGGCCCATGAGACCTCGAGCATGGACGGTAGGAAGTCGAGTGAGCGATATATGCAGGTACATGTCCAATAAGCACCACCTTACACTCGCCGAGTTCATCCGAGTATACGTGACAACCCAAGGCGATGATGGCTATGGAGATCGACCTGCTACTCGTGCCAAACGCCTTGCAGACGCGATATACACCTCGTCGACCGTTCCCGCCCACCTCCGCCTCCGACCTTAACGACCTCATCATTGTCTGCGGAGGGCTTCCCCCTAAATCCGCGCCTTCGACCTCGTCGCCGAGCCAGCGCAGCGCCTCCCGGACGGTTCTGTCGCTTAGTTCCTCCAGTCTCGCTTGTGCTGCGGTCATCTCCCCGGGGACCCGGTTTCCCACCAGGTCCCTCTCTCGCGCCTTCGACACGAGCATGATGCCGTCCAGCGTCGGGCACCGCGACAGCTGCACGTACAGGCTGTACGGGTCGCACTGCGACGGGACGGCGCGTCCGCCGACGTTTGTAGTCCTCGTCCCTCGCAGCTCGAGCGCCACGCGCTCCAGTGTCCCTCCCTGCACCTTGTAATCCGTGCACGCGAAGGCGGCGGCGCACGGCGGGCCCTTGCGGCTGACGTCGTTCTGCTGCCACGGTCGCTTCCGCTTCCGCTGGATCCTGACGCTCATGGGCGTCAGGAGGATCGTCCCGGGCGGCATCCCGACGAAGTGGAAGTCCTTGGTCGTCTCCGACCCCAGTATAATCGCCGCCGGCGGCCCGAAGTGGATCGTCGTGTCGGCCGAGATCCGATGCCCCGGGTACGCCTTGTCGATGATGACCTCCGCCGCCGTGTAGCTGGCGCCGTTCACCAGCTTCAGCCCCTGGTGGGTGTTGTGGTTCACGACGACCGGCATCCCGGGCACGAACATGAAGACGGCCGGCACCGGGATCGCACTATCGTCGCCCTGGTTCAGCATCATGACGGCCTCTTCCTCGGTCGGCAGGCCGTCCTTCCACTTGTGCTCGGAGAGGAAGATGCGCAGCGTCGACCGCTGCTGGGTCTGGAACGCCAGGCTGGCCTCCATGTTGAGGTTCCACCGGTTCCTGTTGAGCGGCGTCACCACCGTGATGCCCGTTTCCCACGGGATCCGCCTGCCTTCCCGGTGGCACCTCGAGTTGAGGAGGTCCAGGTCCGAGCGGTCCTGCACGCCCTGCCGGATCCGCCGCAGTAGCCTCTGCAGCTCCGGGTCGCCGGCGGCGCGCATCTGCTCGTCCAGCATGACGACCGTCGTGAACCTCTTCCACAGCCCGTGCGCCTTGTCGTGCTGGTGGCGCTGCTCGGCCCTGAACGAGTCGTCCTCGTCCCACGAGACGGCCGCGCTCGGCAGCAGGATCGACCTCTCCTGGACCGGCCGGAACTGGTGGAAGTCTCCGCAGAAGAGCACGACGGGGATCCCCCCGAAATCCCGCTGCGACCCGCGCAGCTGGCAGAGCCGCTCGTTGACGGCGTGCAGCGTCCGCGAGCCGAGCATGCTCACCTCGTCGATGACGAGCACGTCCTTGTCCTGCCAGTCCATCCGGGACTGGCCGTTGACGAACCGCTCCGCCTGCTTCGGCAACCGCACCCCGTCGAAGTCGTTCGCCGTGTTTGCGCCCGGCCCTTGGTCCTTGGTGAAGCCGCAGGCGGAGTGGATGGTGATGCCGTTGACCCGCGCCGCGGCGGTCCCCGACGTCGCCGTTATCAGCAGGCGATGCGAGAGGCCCTTCGCGGCGAAGAGGCCTACGAGGGCTTCGACGACGCGCGACTTGCCGGTGCCGCCCTCGCCGCCGACGAACTGGCAGAGCTGGCTGACGTCGCCTCCGTCTCCTTGCCGCATCGAGTCCAGGTGGCGGCATATTATGGAGAAGGCGATCGCCTGTTTCCTGTTCAGCGTCAGCCGCGTTGTCAAGCCTTTCCCGGCCTCGACGAAGGAGGTCGACGGGCCGAGGCGGACTTCCATTCCGGCCTCCGCGTTACCTGCCGTCTCCTCGGCTTCCGCTCGCGTCATCTGCACGTCTTCCTCCCCGAAACCGGTCAGCACGCTCCGCTCCGCTGCGCCGCGATCGGTGCCGTGGGCCGGTGCCATGCTTTGTATGCTCTGAATCATTTTCACCCTTTCTCTGGAGGCGCATGTCTGCTGCGACTTGATGGCCTTGACCTGGTCCTGCGGAGGCACCGCGGCCCCGGAAAACACCTGCCCCGGCATGTCGATGTGCCTCCCGCCCCGTTCGGCCACGATGGCGGCCTGGAGCTCAGCCGTCGAGGCCAGCGCCGATTGCTGGAAGCGGCACAGCTGCTGTATCATTCCCGAAAGCTCGCGCGATCCCGCCGTGATCTGGCCTGCCCCGACCGCGCTTCTGACAACGTCGATTAGTCGCGTTGCGTTTTCGGCGTTGTCGGCCTCGTACGCCGAGGCCGCGTCGTGGTCCGCCGGGTGTGGCCCTCCCCCCTCCCCCTCGCCGAGTGCTCCGGCGGGATCCCCGTCGCCGCCCGAGGCCGCCCACTGCTTGGCGTCTCGCTTTGCGTCCTCGGCGGACCGCCGGAGCAGTTGAACGTTGTCGACGAGGCAGGAGGTTCTCGGCGGAAGCTGCTCTCGCGCCCGCCTCCATATCTCATTGATGTCGCCTCGCTCTTCGCCGAGAAAGGCCTCCCACGGCACAAACAGGGCAAGATGCTGCACGGCTGCTCTGCGACAGCACAGTAAGCTCCCGCGCGTCGCGACCCCTCCTCAGCCGGCCGTTTACCGCACTTACCTGACTTACCTGCGATAACCTGATTCCTCGTCGTCCTGCTCGAAATCCTTACTTAGGTAGCCGTCAAGGCAGACAACGGCGTGCTTTCCCGGCCGCCTTAACACCTGCACCCAGTCCTTACCGGCCACCCAGCCGCTCTCGAACGGCACCTCCCCCCAGGAACCGGCGCACCCTTCCCTGCCGATGCGTTGGAGTCTAACAAGCGACACATAGTCGTATAGGCACAGGCCTCGTAGGACGTTTCCCCGATGGTGGTACGCCTCGGCGAAGCTGATCCGCTCGCCCGCTTCTTCTACGACGACCGACTCGTCTACGGACACGTCGGCGACCGCGGTGCCGCTCTCCTGCCGAAGGTGTCGCCACCGTCGCGAGACGTGCCAGTAGAGCACCGACGCGTTCAGGTACGCCCAGGCGCTGCTGCTCGTGAACTCGCTCGGGTACCCGAGGAGATGGGCGATGACCTCGACTTGCGACAGCGCCCGCTCCGTGAACACGCGGTTCGCCACTCTCATCAGAAACTGCCGCGTCTTGTTTTTGGTTCCGTCGTCGTCGCCGACGACGCCACCTCTGGCGTCATCCCCGGTGGTCGGCTGGCCACCGGCCGAGACAACGGGCAGCAGCTCCGCGGCGGCGGCGATGCGCTTCCACGTCGGGTCCTCCACCTTGGTCGCGTAGTTCGTGACGTAGTAGACGAGCGCCATGGTCTTCCGCTGGGTCGCTATAAAGGAAATGTCATGGTTGTGGCGGAGCCCCACGGCGATGGCCTTGTTCCAACGGTTCACCATGGGATGTGTCCTGCGGATCCGCAGCACGCCGTCCGATGAGAAGGCCGTATCCTCGACCAGCTTCCATGGCGCCTTGAAGCGACAGAGGTCGCCCTTTCGTCCCCTGTTGCCCAGGGAGTACTTGACGCATGTCGGGCTATGGGTGTGGATCTGCGTCGCGCCGGCGCAGAAGTTGGCTTCCTCTTCGAATGATGCCGAGAACTGCTCGGAACTGTTTAGCAGAGATGAGATATCAGACGTCACCGAACGCTCCGCCCGCACGGCGCAGAACCCTGCCTGGTCTAAGTCCGAGTTTCCGTGTCAGCCTGCGTCCTCTTTGCCCTGCGACGGCCCGCCGTTTTACCTCGCAGAAGACGCTATCGACGTAGCGGACGATTCGCTCGCGGTATGCCGCTTGCTCTTCCCCGTGCGAGTCGGCAAGCATCGAGCTCAGGTGCGCGTTCCCGTGTAGCCAGAGCAGCCCGTGGACGTGAAGGGATCCTCGCTCGTTGGTCTCCACGGCGCCATAGTACTGGCTGATGCGCCCGAAGATCGACTCCCCCCCTGCGTTGACATAATGCTTGAAGAACAGCGTCATCTCCCGGTGGAAGAAGATGGCTGAGCTCATCGGGTCGGAGACGGATAGCCGCGCTCGTTTGAATGACGCGTCGATGCCTCGCAGGAACTCCTCGGCGGCTTCGGGGTCACGCGCGCGGTGCGCTGCCAAACGGAGCTTCACCGGGTTCGTAATGTCGTTTGGGTTGATCGTGATCCAGATCGCGGGCACGCCGTAACGGACGATGAGCGCCAGGATCTTATGCCGCATGCTGAGACGGAGCTCCCTGGACATGGGCTGGCGATACCCGTATAGCGAGAGGCTCCTCAGGAGCTCCTTCACGCCGTCGTCGGTCGTCTTGCCTGTGCTCTCCAGCTCGGCTCTAGCTGCCGCCAATCTGTCCGCGGTCAGCGACCGTACGATGCGCTCCACCCTGCGGAAGTTCTTCCTCGTCACGCTCAGCATGCTGACGCGACGGTTCCTCGACCGCACGCCCATGTTGAAGACGAGGAACGCGAAGATGTGGTGCGTCGCGAACCGGCCGCCGTGGCGTCGCAGCACCGTGTCTGCCCACGTCCGAAGGCTCATGTTCCGAGACGACAGGAGGTCCCGCGTCCCGGCCTCTACCTCGCGCGTGTTGGCGGAGCCTCTGCCCAACGGTACGGTCGCTTCTTCGACCGGTCGCGGCCCTCCGATGCCAAATGGCAACAGTGTGGGAAAGGTCTTCGCGAAGAAGCAAGCTTCGAGCGAGTCGGCGAATTCGTCCGCGCGGCGAATGTGGATGTACGGCTCAGAACCATCGGCGTGCCCTGGCTGCCCCCTTGCCGAGGTTTCCACCCACGTTCTCGGGCCCGTGCCGCCGTCGGCTGCGCCTTCGCGAACGGCATCGTAAGCGAACCGCAATTTGTCGACGTCGGCGACGTCGGGCGGCCCGTCCAACGCAAACATTCCGGATGAGGTCACCTCGTTGATCGTCTTCGCATCGTCATCGGCCTCACCGCAGCTCCGACCACGCACCTCGCCCACCTCGCCCGCCTCTGGCTCGCCGGCCTCGCGACTCGTCGTGCTTTCCCCTTGGTTGAGCATGGCGAGGACTTCTTCGATCTCCACCGCCCCCTCGTCGTCCATGGCCCGCTCCGTGGGCGGCACGACGTGCGCCGTCCGCGTCTTCTCCCACGCCGACGGCTCGTCCCGCTCCAGGCGCTCGTACACCAACGGCGGCACCCCGTGGGCCGAGTCTCCCCAGCTCTCCATCTCCGCCGCGTCGATCTCGATCCCGGCGTAGTGTGGGTTGTTCCTCCTCAACCAGACGAGGGCCCTCTCGACAACTCGCCGCCTCACCGACAGGAGACTCGACAAGTCGCTCGGTGTCGGCCTTGCCGCCCCTTGCCACGAGACGTGGATCTCGTCCATTACCTGCAAGAGAGAGTGTGGCAGGACGTTCGTCACCAGCTCTTGCACGTTGTTCGGGAACACCGTGATGTGGCCCTTGACGTGCTTGGGATATCTCAACGTCTGCTTCTGGCCGCCTGAGACACTGTATCTTGTGACGAACCCATAACATGAGTTCAGCGCGATCAGCTTCTCCTCCACCGGCGTAAGGCCCTTGAGCTCATCGGGGAACACGTGCTCACAACCGAGACGGCTATGGAGTTGAGCCGCCGGCGACAACACCCCGCGCGCCAAGCGTCGAGAACACTCCTCGCAGACCAGGACTGACTCGCCCTCGCGGAAGCAACTCCGGCACGCAAACGGCGAGCGACCGCCCTTGACGGTGGGACTCGACATCCACTGGTCCCATGCCATCTCCCTTAGCTCTCTTGCCGTGCGCTTCCGGTAGCATAGTATGCACGTCCGTATCGGCAGCGTGTCTACGTCGTGGAAGGCCCGATAGAAACCTCGCACCGTCGACACCTTCCTCTCGTGCGGTACGGGCGTGCACCAGGTTTGCTCGTTGGACAGCCTTTCCTTTACGGCGAATTCCTCTTCAAGGCAACGTAGGACGCTGGCCAAATCCTCCTCCTGCAACTCCCTTCTCCTCTGCCTCCAAAGGCCGCCTCGAGTACGTTTCGCCGGGGGCCGGTCTCGATCGGGCTGGCCCATTCTCTTTCTCCGTTCCACGGGCTGCGACGGTCTCGCTGCCGCCTTGTCTCGTCTCGGCCGATCTTGTTCTTCCGCTGCGACCTCGCGTGATGGTCGCGGTGACGAACGTCCGGAGGACTGCAGATTCGCTGTTCTGTTTTCCGTCTCTCTAGGTCGGACTGGCTGAACGGAGGGCTCCTTAACGACGTGCAACCCGCCTTCACCTGAGCGAGGCACTTGTCCGGCCGCGTTCGTAGTCTCTTTGGACTGAACGGGTTGGGGTTTTCTCGGCCCCCCCCTCGCGCGTTTTCCCCCAGCGCCGGTTGTCCGCTCAATGAGACCCTTCAGAGTTACCCGAGCGCCATCGCCGGACTGCCTAGGCCTAGCCGTCTCAGGGCCACCTCCGGCCGCGGCAGACGATTCCCCTACGCCTGCGCCTTCATCTCGCCTAACTAACACGACCTCTGGCCCATCACGAGCGTTTATCGATGCTGACCGTGGCGCTTGCCCTCCCTCTAAAGTAGCGCCATCGACGTGCCTCGTCCTTTTTCGCTGCCAAGTACCTCGCCGATTTCCTACAGGCAACGCTCTTTTGAGTGCTTTCACTCGTTCCCTCCGCGAGGCCTCCTCGAACGCCGGCGCCTGCTTGGCCTCGATGGGCCGGAACTTGGATGCCGCGTCCGCTTGACTTTCGTGGTGTGACGCCTGCTTCGGCCCTTTGTCCGCCGCGCTAACTGTCCCCTCCGCGATACTCCTCGTCGCAGCGGCGGCCGCAGCCACCGTCCCCATTTCACCTTCTCCGGCCACTAACCTAACCTCGCGGCTAGTGTTCTCCGCCATGCTGGTGCTCCTTAACGATGAGGCTCTGCAAACATTGGATGGATCCAAAGAGCTTTCGCCCGTGATGTGCTCGAAGATTAACTCGCTTCCTAGCAATGGCGACCCTATAGTCTTAACAACATGACCGCAACGCGGCAGTACCTAGCCCGGGAGAGCCCCCCGCCCCTTTCTCCCTTCTCCCCCTCCTCCCCTACCTTACCGCCATACGTCTACCGATATCCCTACGGACGCCCTGGACCAGCCCAAGCCCAGGGGCTGATACTGCAGCTCTCCCTAGCGCGATCTTCTCCTAGTTGGGCTCTCCTCGCCATCTTCCTATCTGACCGTCGCAAATAGGCGTCTAAACGAGCATCGTACTGAACTTTCTTTTTCCTTGCTATCTCCGCTGCACCGAAAGTGGGATTGCCCTGCCATCCAGCTCGGCTCACCTAGAACGGTTGCTGCCAGGTCCGTCTTCCCCGACCTTCCCTGTCAAGTCTAACCGTGACCTTCCCCACAACACCTCTCCGTACGCCTTGTACGTGTTGTACGTTAGGTCTGCTTCTACCCCTCGCGAGAAGGCCAAGCTAATTGGTGTACAGCAAGGCGTGGGAAAGGCGTGGCAATGCTCCGTCTGCTGATCTTGCCTGCTTCAACCCCCCCCCCCATCTTCAGCCTTCTAAACCCCCCCCCTGCTTATGTCCTTCCTTATTGATGTCCTCCTTCTGCATCAGACCTCTACTCTCCCGGACCCGCCGGGCCTCCTCTGGACCTATCGACAGGCTTATCTGCCGACAGCCCAGCTTTCGGCCTCCTATGCCGGCAGCCCTGCCGGACTCTTTAGTCCGCGCCGCCCTTGGTGCCTGATTGGGACCCAGCTACACGACACCACTACGCATCTCTTCAACGTCCGTTTACTTACAGCGGCAAGGCTCCTCGCCCTTCCCCGCGAATCTATGCCACCATTGATCTATCCCAAGTACGTTCACGCTCAACTTCTTCCTCACTCCTTTCCTTCTTGACACTGAGTGGTGGTCGTTTTCGTGCGCGCGACTGGCCTATCGATCTGCGCTGGTGCACCATGTCTTCCTCTCTACTTCCCACCGATGTGCCTGCACCACACCTTCGAAAGCCGCTCGATAGCCAAAGGGGCGCTGGCGGCGACATGTCCATGGTGTTTTTTCGTCCAGCCGGACTGCCCCGTTAGATTTGCCCACCAGGACGAGCACCGCATCAGGGGTCTTAACGCCGAGGCTATGGCCCGCGTCTTGCTGCCTCCGCCCGCGTGGCTGCTCGCCACGGAATATGCGCCCCTCCGATCGGAGGCCCACGGTTCCCCGACATCCCTCTTCTTTAGCCTCAATCTCTCGATTTACGGCCAGCCTATTGACGCCTCTAAATGGACAGAAGAGTGGTTTTTCATGAATGGCCGCGTCCACCCCTACGCCCTTGCGTGGGAGGTTGAGCAGCGCGACGGCCTCGAGTCCGACACGGGCGGCGCCCTTCTCTATACGATGCCCGCCTTTGTCGTCCGCGACCAAGACTACCAGCCGTAAGGCGTGCCCTGTTCCTTCGCGAGCGGCAACGAAAGAACATATAGCTGAGATGGGCCTCAAGCGTTCTTCCTAGGCTCTTGGCCTCTGTGGACGACATCCCCTGCGTCCCGCCTATTGTTTCCTTTACCGGCCTTATCGTCGACACCGGCCACTCCTTGCTGCGGCGCGACCTACTGCCGGGTCTAGACGCCGCCCAGCTTAATTTTTGCGGCTTTGTCCGCCTTTCTACCTACGTCGCTCCTGGGATGCCCAATAAGATCCCCTTTAAGAGCTTCCACCCGTTCCAGGTCTTCGTCATCTTCCCTATTCGCTCTAACCCCTGGGCCATCTTGTGTAAGAAGACGGCTGAGAGGCGGGACTCTCAGTTCCAGCCTAACGTCCCCTTTACCTGCACAGCCAAGGTCGCCGGCCTGCTCCGTCATGACGTTATGCTCTACCCCCCGGGCTCCCACCGGGACAACGTCTTTATCGTTGTCCCGGATTCCTGGACCTTTCTCGACAAGGCCGCCGTCACCCCATTGGCGCCGCTTCTCTCTACGCCACAGACGCAGCGGGCATCCTCCGCTTCCGCGGCCTTTCAGGACATGCGCGCTGCCTCTTTGTCCTTGGCCACCCCTCGCACCCTCCCGCTCAGCCCTCCACCTTTGCCTTCGGCTTCGCCCTCGATCGGCCCTCCTACGCCGTCCGGGAAGCGATTTTGCCCTGAGCCTACCGATACGCAGACGAAACGACCACGTCTGCTGCATAAGGCCCCGGTGCCTTCGTCTTCCCCTAACCCTGGCTTGTCTGCCACCCAGTCGTTCCCTGTTTCGGCTGCCTCCTCGACATCTGAGCCGGATAGCCCTGAACGGGGTCATGGCTTAGGGGACTCGTCCCTCCATTCCATTGTCGCTCATGGCTTGGGTTCGCCGCCCCGTCCACTTCGAAACCGTCACCAATCTAAGAAAGCTACCGAAATGGAATGACGGTGCGAAACCATACGCTGCTACGATTTCTTAAACGAGTAAAACAGTCAAATCTTATACTTTATCCTACTCCTTAAATCTACCTTGTTTCTATCTTTTGTCTTTACTCCATCCTCAGTCCTCAAATCTTTCCCAGTTTTTTTTTCTTTGCACATCCTTAAGACTCTCCTTAACTCTTTCCTTAAATCTTCCCTGTAGTCTTTCGTTCCGAAAGGCTCTTTGCGCAACCCCGGTTGGGTTGCCTCTCCTGTATAGTGAATATGCCTTCCGCTTAGCATGGTTTCTTTTGTTCAGAACAGAACCACCTAATTATTCAGCCCGAAGGGCGTTCTACTCAGTCAGAAAGAATCGAGCATAAAACCTCTTCTGATTGGCCAATTAGCCTCCCCTGTGCTCAACTCGCGAACGAATTGGTCGGCTGATAACGCCACCAAATGAAGGCCCACCATAAACCCCTGAGCGTTGACTAGGTAACCAAGGAGCTCTCCAAGGGCTCGCCAAGAGCTTTCACTTCTTCTTTCCTAATCCTCTTTTCCGTCGAATCTATCAAACGCATTGGTTTGCTAACGGTACCTAGGTTTCACACATCACCTCCGCGGCCGACCTACCTCTCAATATTCCCCGGTTACCTTACCTCCAGGCAAGCAGTACAGTCTCCTCCTAGATTGTTTAGACCTGATCTAACTACCGCAAAGACAGCCTCCCTATCGAGATCTATCACGGTCTTGGACCTCTCGGCTGTCAGTCAGCTCTGCTAGCACCGCCAAATCCTCGCAAAGCCTCCCTGCCCGAGCAATATATAGCAGCTTAGGTGGATAAGAAGTGGATATATACTGTCAGATGGAGAACGATACACCCCAGGCGGTCCGCAACTGCCGTACCTGCAAGCAAGACCTGCCCGAAGTCGAGTTTCGAAGCGTCAAGGACCCTACAAAGTTCACAACAGAGTGTGCTAACTGTAGGGCACGCCGAAGGAGCGGATAACCGAATCCCGAGCCGTCGTCGCCGCAATGCAGAAGATCGCCTCGAAGCCATTGCCACGCAGAGCCTCGAAGAGGACCGATTCACTAGCTAACCTGACGCCTCCAAGGCGGACTGCACCAACGCCTGCGTCTGCGAACGCCTTACAGCCTCCTTCCATGCCTGATTTATTCCGTGGCCTGGTGCCTGCACCGACGGGAATGCTCAGAGCTCCGCAGGGGCCTTCTACCCCAAGCGCTGTAGAGGGATCTTCCCCTATCCCTCCTACCCCTGGCCTGCCAACGGTGGTTCTAGGCACGCCGATTCCTGAAGTCACTCTTTCTGCCACCCCTTTTGTGCTAAGCACGTCTATATCACAAGAATGGCTTCCTGCCACTCCTTCATTACTGCCACAGGGTCATTGCCGCGGCCGTTATACACGTCAAGTCAACATTAACCCCCGGCCACGGCCACAGCCTCAAGAGCGACAGTTCGATCAGATGGTTGATCCGCCTTTACAGGGACCTTAACTTGCCTGCCCTTAGTGAGGAGGATCGGGCTCTTGTGCAGGAGTTCTATACTGCCCTGAATGACGACAAGATGCATAGTTGCATTCGCTGCCAGGAGCGTTGGTTCGATATGAAGCGAAATAGCTCGAAAATCTGCAGTCGCTGCATTGGTCGAGACAGGAAGAAAGCCCTCGACGAGCCCTACTTCTTTAGCGCTGCGAATAACCTTGATTTTGGGGAGGCAATTGATATACGGGCCCAACCACTTTACTACACGGGCGCTCCTTACACGGGCTGTATGGACGACCGGCCAGCCCCACCAACACGGCCCGTCAGCCCACCAAAGGCGGTGAGACCACCACAACACACGCATTCGCTCACTAAGATGACATCTTCTACCGCTAATCTGATAACCTTGTCATCACTACTTCAATGAATTAATACGATGCGCCCGTCCGGCTCTTTAACGCTATCTAAAGGTACTCTAAGAATCGGTCCAGAATTCGAGAAGAAATTATGCAACAGACATCGACATATGTGCACAGTCAGAACCTACCGTTAGTCCGTTAAGGGATTTTCCGATGATCTGCCGGATCTGGTGATCTGCCGGATTGCGGCGACTTCGCACGCTCAACATCAATCGACAATAGCTCAACAACAACGGTGCCAATTGACGTATCCTTTGATTTCCTGAATCATCAGAAGCAGTGAAAGTCTGGCATATATTTAGAACTTTTATCTAGGGGGCAATGCGCTGCGGTGCTGACATCAAACCAAGCAACGGCCAAAATAGGATGCCGACAGATTGTGTAAGTCATTTCAGCCAATACAGCAAAAACAGAACATTATTGGCTTTCATCGTAGGCTTTAATCATGTGGGATTCTCCCCATTCTATCCATAGTGCAGAACTTGGCTCAGGATACTGCAAAAAATGGGGGTTGGAAGGGCGAGCTGGATAACTTCATTCTACGCACCCGTAATGAGCCAGATTGAACGTGATTCGACGGTACAAGCATCTTCTGAAAAGAACCTATCTATGCATCTGAATGTAAGGTTTATTTTTAGCTTGAAATTCAGTGCGCGAGGCTCCGCTTTCACACCTGACAAGGAAAGACGTGCACGAAAATTGAGAAATTCGACACCCTACCCTAAAACACGTATAACATGGATGAAATGGGCTTTCTATTCCTTATGAGCATTTGAACGAACAGGGTATTCCTCTTATTATAAGAAAACAAGGCAAAATTGCTCGGCGTATTAAAAAATGGCAACCCATCCTCCCTTACGTTCAAGATGTGCGTCAGTCAAGAGATGGCATCGCTGCCCCCATTTCTCATCCACCAAGACAAGCCAGCACAAACTCTGGACTTTTGGTTCGTGAAACGTGAATCAAGTCGTCAATAAATATTTTTAACACGTCAAAAACGAGGTGGACGAATCACAATATTGGAAATGAGCAGCTCACCGGTACGTTCGACCGGTTTACCAGGGTGAAAGCTCGAAACGGTTGTGCTTATCGCCTTTGGTTCCCGATGGCCACTTAACCATTTTAGTATCGAATTTATGGAGTGGTGTGACCGGCACCGAGTGATCGTTGTGGTGTTTCCCCTCAATCCATTCATCGGCTGCAACCCTTGATGTATCGTTATTCAGCCTCTCTCAACAGCGTATACGCATGATCTTATCCAGTACACAGACAAATCAAAAGGTTCATTGGATTGCTGAAATCGAAGATCTAGACTGTGTTTTGGAACGCATTTCAGGAAGTAGTCGAGAAGTCCTCTGTTGATGCTGGCCGCAACAGCCGAAGGCTGAGCAGCACCCTCGGGAGCCCTCAATATGAGTTTTAAGTGCTTGATATGAGAGTTAAAGTATGCAGAGAACAAGTAGTCACAAGAACCAGCGCAGGCAGACCGGTAAGGCTTCAAAAGATGATCTCTTCTGCTGTACAGATTCTAGTGCAGACGAGGTGTTTAGCTCTAAAATTGTGGCTCAAGCTCGCCAAAATGACAGTGAAAGGACTCCAAAGAAAGAGGAGGCTCTGAAGAAGGAGGCCTGAAAGCTTCAGCGACAGCAGAAGGCAGCGGAGCAAAAGCTCTGCTCTAGAGAAGAGGAAGCAATGAGAGGCGGAAATTGGGAGAAAACGACGGATGACGGAGGCCGTGAAGCAAAATAAGGAGATAAATTGGCATTATTAACAAGAGCTGAAGATTTTGAAAGTGGAAAAGCCACAGAAAATGCAGAATGAGCGACGGGTGGCTTCTGAGGGTCGCGAGAGGAGTCAGGATGTTCACGCTGCAAAAATTGTCACTCTTCCGTTCACACCAGAGCGGGCCATAGCATTGCAGGTACCAAACACACTATATAATAACGCAAATAATAAGGCAATGATAACTTCAAACGACATATCCTGTCCTCAAAGGCCCTCTTTAGCTGTTGATAGTGATCGGGAGGCAATGGTGCATTTCGGGACTTGCGCGATCGGAGAGTAACAGAAGACGACCTCGATGGCTGGATGACTTCAAAAAGATTGAGTGGCATCTTTGAGCATTATTAACTGCTCTTATAAGATTTTAGAACAATTCAAATAGTATTCGTGAAGTTATTCTCAGTTCTTTGCTGGAATGCAATGAGCCCAAAATCCGGCGAATCGCCAGATCCGGCAGATCACCGGAAAATCCCTTACAGGCGCGAGGATGGCCAGCTTTCCAACGTACCCTGCGAAGATGCCATGGATCTAGTCACCCTCTCGCTCGTCCGAACAATAACACACTCACTGATGCCTGTCTCGCTGCGCGGGTTCGGTGCAGTCGAGTTCGCCGAGGCAGCGGGCGGCTTACGGGAACCCGAACGACCAGTCGAGCTTGGTCGCGGCGCTTGCCTCTCGTCATCACTTATGAGCTCCCACTGCGACCGTTGCCTCCGTACGCTCGGCCGACTTCTGCGCCCAGTAGCCCGAACGCCTGTCGTCTTGCCCGGCCTGAGGATGGCCGTCTTCTTGCCCGTCACTGTCTGACTCTTTCGGCGTCGGCTACCCGCTCGATTAACCACCATACTCGTAGGGACAGGCTGTACCGTATTCTTCGGTCGTCCACGAAGGCTCGTTGCGATCCTGGGATCCAGGATTCGGCGGTAAGGGTCCCGTGAAGAAGGCTCCGTAGATGCCACCGTGGGTGGACATCCCACCTCCTTAGGAACTCACCTGCTTCCAATTTGCAGTAGATCGTATGGCGGCAAGGGATCCCCAGTTGCCAGGATACGGAACAGTTCTCGCCGCAGTCTCCGATTGGTTCTGGCCAAGGGCGAGACCTGCTTGGTATCGCTTTCAAGGCGTAGCGGTGTTCCCTGGCTATGAGATTAAGCCCTGTTGAGATGCAGTCATGCGGAGCTCGCCCAGGTACTCAGAACCAGGGCTAGAGTAGGTACGCGTGGTTAAAACTTCATCTTGTGCACAATTGTCGATAAAATCTCGTTCCTGATCACCCAACATGCCCTCTATCGCCTCGATGAGCCCAAATAGATGGTTCATTCCATTGAGCAGATAGCTCTTGACGTTATTGTTGCTTGCCTCCGTGCCAGACGTGACGCGAATACCGAAGTTACGATGCTTTTTGATGAAGCACTGAGACCATTGCGGGCTCAGGGGCAAGTAGGTATTATAAAGGTAGATCAGAATGGCCTCCTGGTCATCGAACTCGTCGCATAAGCGCACCCAAACCTTCTCGTAGTCTTCCTTTGTCTCTGCGAAACCACGAGCTTCCACATTTCAAGGACACCACGGTAGTTGTGGGTACGGTCGTGGAGACGTTGCTCCGAGACAGCGGCTCGTCTTGTCTCCCCGCCGCAAGGACCGCCTCCTTGTCGCGCGAATTTAACGTTGCCTGCGATTGCTCAGTATTAGAGCCACCGTCGCTGTCTTCCTTGGCGTGCTTCCACTTGCGCTTGGCGTTAAGTAGTACGTTCGAGTTGATATGGAAGATACAAAGCTGTTGTTGAGCGTCTGAAACTGATCTTCCAGTGCCGCCTTCATCTGTTGGTCGAAGTCCGTGATCACAACGTTGGGTAGTTGAATTCCATGCCTCTCAACCAACTGCCTAATCCCTTCAGCGAGGAATTGGAAGCCTTCACGCCTTTCGTTATCGATCAAGCCGAAGGCAGCGTTGTAGACCGACTTGAGGCAAGTTTGACCCGTCGCCTGGAAGAGCGGGAGCTTGAAGCGATTTGTGTTGTAAGTGTTGTCGAAGCTTATCACCTCCGGGAAGCGTTTCCACATACGGATACAGTATGGAAAGGTCCATACCAACCCAACAAGGCGGTCAGGTTCGGTCTCTGACCACTTGGCGATATAGGGGGATGCCCCTCTCGTCGAAAAGCTTGATTAACGCGGCTGTGGGGCTCATTCCGCCAAGATTCTCGCGGCGCAGAAGCGCCCTGGCGTTATATATGTCCCTTCTCATATAGACGGTTCCTGGGTGGCTGTCCCGAACAAGTCCCCCCTACATCACGTGCCCGGATGCCAACTCGCCGGCTTGTTGTTTCGATTGTTGCCTTGACAGGGTTGGTAAGTCTTCGGTGAACTGGGTGCGCGGAGAGGCTAATACTCCGTTCGTGGTTATGTTGGCCGTGCTCAGGGTCGGGAAATGCTCGTAGCGTCCACATATAGCTGTTCTCTGCCAAGCCTTCCGCGATCACCTTCCACTTGCAGCCGGACTTGCGTGACCGCCTCTGGCGAAGCCCAGTCCCCTCAGACGGGCGTGGCTGACCGTACCGATCGCACTCCAATACGTATCGCGTCTTTCTGGCTCGACTCCCAGTTCCATTTCGCCTGACAACGCCCACACTCGGCGTCGGAGAAGCCGTTCCACTCTTCGTACTCCTGTCCATCTTGGCTCAACGATGATACTAGTGGAGTGGGCGACGCAATACGGCCGTGGCAATCGTCTCCACGTTCCCAAATAGCTTGCCGTGGGCCGGACGCTTCTCGACACTTGGCCAACTCGCGAGCCAATAAGGAATCTGTCTCCGCCAGCTCCCAGGCCAAGGTCAAGGCAGGCTGGAAGCGGGCCACAACCTGCTTGCGGGCATCGACTTCCTCCACCCTCAAGAGGCAGCGTAGACGCTGTCTCTCGAGTTTGTCTGCATCAGGAATTCCTGTGGTGAACAACCGCCGAGCCCCACCTCCTCGGAAGCTATCATCCAAGAATATTTGTGACTGACGTAGTTTCCACCAGGGCTCGTCGACGCCACGAGAGCCGTGTGGTCTTGGCAGGCTAGTGAAGTAGCTTTCTGGCCATGTCGCGAAGAGATTGTATAACGCATCATCGTCGTTAAGGCCGTAATACGGTTCAGGATTGAAAGGAGGCTGAGCCCGAGCCCGTGATGCAAGTCTACGGCGCTTGCATGGAGGCAAGCCCGGAAGGGATCTACTACAGCCGTCGCCGCTGTTGGCAGCAGTTGGGTCTTCGTGCAATGTCATGCCGGTTGGTGCTTAACCGAATGATTGCTCAGACGGAAAGTTGGTTGTGGGAGAGTTAGTTGTCACTACAGAACTGGCAGCTGGGATGTCACCCCTTCTGCCAGGTGGTGGGGCTACAGACCCTGCCACGTGCAAGGACCAGGCGGCAGAATTTTTGGCCCAATTAAAAACCGCCGCCCGTGTAAGGAGCGCCCGTGTAGTAAAGTGGTTGGGCCCGTATATCAATTGCCTTTGGGGAAGTCCCCGCCAATCTACCTGATCTAACGATGGCCGAGGAGATGCTCATCGCTAGGGTTCACGTACATGTGAAAGTCTTGCAGGTGCGTGGCGCTCAATACAAATATCGCGGTCACGTTGTCCACTTCCTTCGCAATGTTGGCAGGCACTTTGAAGAGCTCCCAGTCCTACCTGAAGAGCTAGATATCGTCCTCCTGCGGCCTCCTAATGTGGAGGGCGACCCTCGCTTCCGGCAACAGTTTGCTCGCGATTTCCGGGTACGTCGCTCATGCCTGTCGGCCTGGCTGCATTACCTACACCGTCACCACCCGGGCTATCGCGATATCGTTGTGAGCCAGAATCGCCTGCAACGTCTTCCTCTTGATGGCAGCATAGTTGCTTCCATTGCCAGCCAAGTGGCTGACATAGCTGACGGCGAGGTCCCCCAAGGTCCCGTTGAGGAGGTTGTGGAAGAGGACCCTAGCGATGCCGATGCATCAGCGATCCCGAATTTGCAGGTCACTGATACCGAATTGAACGCTCTGCAGTCCCGATTTCTTGATGGGACCCCTAACCCTGAGCGCATGACTGATCTGGAGTATATGCCGCGTAGCGCGCAGACTGACCACCAGATGCCACTGCCTTCCATTCGCAGGACCCCTATCGACGAATTCAACCGTTCCCAGCCGCTGTTAACGCTCGCGTTCCCTACCCTCTACCCTGACGGCAAGGCCGACTTCGTGGAGCCTCGCTTACGGAGCATCACGTATCAGGACTACCTTGGCCATGCGATGAGATGGCATGACGGACGTTTTGCCCGCCATAAGACGTGGCCTTTCGTCGCCCTCAATACGATGTTACGTGCGCAGGTCCGAAAGCGAAGTGACTACTTCGTCAAGCAACGCGACAGCCGCCGTCAACCCCTTACCCGCGCCGACCTAGAGGAAGCGATGGCTGAGCCTGACGAGCCGGAGGCTCAGGCGCTGATCCAGTCAATCACGCGCCAAGCCGCGGTAATCAGGGGCACCCGGCCGTATTGGTATAAGCAAAGAAAGGAATTGGAAGCATATGCCTACAATCTGGGCAGACCTGGCCTTTTCGTTACTGCAAGTGCGGCCGATTACCACTGGGAGTCCCTATATCGTCACATGCCTCGATTCCAAGAGTGGAAAGCAGCTCCTGAGGCGGCGCGCATGGTCCTGTCCCGGCAACTACTGCGAGACAACGCCCACATCGCCGCTTACCACTTCCATAAGCGTTATACGCTGTTTAGGACTATTGTCCTGAAGCAGAAGTTCAACCTAACGGACTTTTGGGGCCGTTACGAGTGGCAGGGCAGGGGTTCCAGTCACCACCACGGCCTATATTGGCTAAGTGGCCACCCAGACTTAGATGCTGACAACGATCAGTCCCGGGAGCAATTCGCCCGCATCTGGGGATATCACGTATCTGCTGTCAACCCAGAGCCTCAGCGAATACAGGCGCCTGGGGAAGGGAATCCCCTGATCGGCAATCTATTGGAGCAGCCCCTTACGGTTCAGTTCCTATCAATGCTGGTCAACCGCGTGCAACGCCACCGCTGCAACAACTACTGTATGCAGCTCAATAAGCATACCAAGCAGGTGGAGTGCCGCTTTGGATTTCCTCACGGACAGCGCCTGCTAGCCTCCTTGACAAGGTTCCTCATTCTAAGCACTGGAACTTCAGGGGCGAGAGGAACGATGGCCAGGTTAACCACTACAACCGCTTGCTTACCGTTGCGTGGCTAGCCAATACAGATGTTTCGCCCTGCACGAGCCTCCAGCAGGTAATCGATTACGCGGCCAAATACTGCTCCAAGTCGGAAAAGAAGAGCGAGTCTTTTGCCCAGATTGGGAAGGCTTTGATGCCCCGGGTCAAGGACCACAACCCCCTGATTTCCTTCGCGTCAAAGCTCCTCAATCAGCTGGTTGCTGAGCGGGATTACTCGAAGCAGGAGGTCAGCCACTTGCTCCTCGGCCTGCCGTTACAGGAAGGCTCACGAACCTGCCTGTACGTTGACTGTCGTAATCCTGACAGGCATTCCCGCTCCTTACGCATTGACGGCGATGAGGTTGACGAGGCCCCCAACGTTTTCGAAAAGTACTGTCAACGCCCGGAAGCCCTAGCGGACCTAAACTACGTCTCCTTCCTGAAGTGCTGGAATTTCCGCCCTAGGGACCCTTCCAAGTGGAAGCAATGGCAGCCAGGCAACGTTAACGGCAGGCCTCGTGTGCTGGTTTACTTTCCTCGCTATCAGGCTGATCCAGAAGGCCAACAGTGGCTAGATTACTGCCGTGCAAAGCTAACATTAAACCACCCACATCGGCGGGTTGATGATCTCCTCACATTTGACGGCCAGCTTTTTGGTTCTCACGCTGAGGCCTTCTCCTATTGTTGGCAGCACCACAGTCATGGTGATGACCATTACGGTCGGCCAAAAGAGGCTCGATTACAGCCTCAAGATGATCAATACGAGGCTCTGCCTGTGGAGGAAGAATTTGATGACGAAGACTGGATTCGCCTCGCCGCCCTTTACCTGACAACCCCTTCCCCAGGAGGATCTTGACCTACTTGGCCGCCGCGATATCGACGTCAATTACGACTGGACACGGCATGTGGGTACTTATCCGGAACTTCGAGACGGCTACTGGAAAGACCTTATCGCTAGCCACCCCATGGCCAACGATGTCGAGGTCCTTGGCCCTCACTGGCGTAATACGCTGAACCCACAACAACGGCTCGTGTACGACACATTCATGGGTCACTTCCAGGCGCAAATCCTACTCAAATCCTTCTCCACGTTGATGGCGGTGGTGGCACAGGCAAGTCATTCCTTATCAAGGTGCTTTCTTCCCATCTTCAAGCAGCCGCCCTACCGAATCCTAGCCCTATTTGCCGCGTGGCGCCAACAGGCGTTGCGAGTAACCAGATACAAGGCAGCACCATTCATTCGTTGCTACGCCTTCCAGTAGGTGGTATTTTTACCGACCTTCCCCCAGCCGACGCAGCCGCCCTTCAGTCCCGCCTACGGCACGTCAAATACCTCGTGATCGATGAAAAGAGCATGCTAGGGCTTGAGCAGCTCGCGCGGATCGATTCCCGTCTGCGGCAGGTCTTTCCACAGCGTAGCCTCGAGTTCTTCGGTGGTGTGAGCGTCTTGCTTGTGGGCGATTTCTTCCAGTTACCACCAGTCCGACAGAAGCCCCTGTATTCGACTAGCACCAGCCTGTCTTCGTTGGAAAGGAGAGGACAGGTGGCCTACCGGCTATTTGACCGCACCGTCTTCCTGACCACGGTACAGCGCCAGGTTGGTGATGACCAGGCCCAGTTCCGTCAGGCGTTACAGGAACTGCGTGAAGTCAAGTTATCTATACCATCCTGGAACCTCCTTAGCAATCGGGTACAGGCCAGGTTGACGCAGAGCGAGGTTGACGGCTTCAGGACCGCTTTGCGAGTGTATTCTACAAAGGCCCGGGTCAACCAATACAACCACAAGCATATGGTGCACCTCAACGCCCCGGCAATCCAGGTGGAGGCAAAGAATCAGGGCAACGGCGCGGGACAGGCATCAAGCGACAGTGCTGGCAACCTATCTAACAAGTTCCCTGTTGCTAAGGGCACCAGGGTGATGCTCACGACTAATCTGTGGCAGCCAGCTGGCCTGGTTAACGGTGCTCAGGGTACTGTATACGATATCGCCTGGAACGCAGGCGCCGACCCGTTGGAAGACCCCCCAGCCGTTATTATGGTGGACTTTGATAGCTACGACGGACCGCCGTATCTAACAACTAACGAGGGCAGGAAAATCTCACCCATCCTCCCAGTCAGGCGAGACTTCCTTGTGGGCAACGAGACCTGCGCTCGCACGCAGTTTCCTGATGGTGGCGTTTGCTATCACTGTTCACAAATGCCAGAGCCTAACGAAGGATCAAATAGTTACTGATCTCGCTACACGCGACTTCCAGGCCGGCATTAGCTATGTTGCTGTGTCACGGGTTACCTCGCTGCAAGGCTTACTCCTTGAGGCGCCTTTCGATCGTCAGAGCCTCTATAACCACACGCCTGCGTTTCCTACGTACCGCGTTCACGACTAACTATAAGGCAGGGATGAATATGCGCCTCGCTGACCAACAACGGCGTCAGGGTCAACAGCTGACCGACGCACCATATCCACCACGCTACCTTGACTAAACGACATGTTCCTCCAAGCTGCAGGGAAATGGGAGGTTCGATATATAGTATATAGTTTATAGTTAGGTTGGGCCTGTTGGGAAGCAGCAGAGAGACTCCCTAACTATCAGTCAATTCCCTTAGTGCAGGTTTGAAGCGGTTTGAACAGCTGGTTTGCCCGCGGCAGGCGAATGGGGGGTTCTAGGGGGTCTCCCCCTAGGAAAGTGAATTGCAGGTTACGATATTTACCCTTCGGGCTGGATATTCAGCCGTTAAGCCCCTTGCCTTGGCAACTTAACGGGTGTTCGAAGTATTTTAGAATGTATACTATACCTGAAAACGGGATATCAACTTGGGAAAAGCGTGGAGGGATACAAAAGGGGCAGTTTGGACGGGAAAAGGGCAACCGGGGGTAGAGCAATCAACACATGCACATCACAGACTATCAGATCATCTGAGAATCTACCTACGAAAAGTCCCTTTATTCACTTTTATGCCCACTTTGATCTCTCCTTCGCGAGATCCTTCCCAGACAATCGTGCAGCCCATCGTCTTGTCAGACAATATTACAGAGCGACTCTGGTGATGAAGCTCTCGCGAAGGAGAGAGCATAAGTGGGCATAAAAGTGGATAAAGGGACTTTTCGTAGGTAGATTCTCAGATGATCTGATAGTCGGTGATGTGCATGTGTTGATTGTTCTGTCCAGTTGCCCTGTATCCGTCTAGCCCTCCCCTTTTATATCCCTCTGTGCCTTCCCTGTGTTCATATCCCGTGTTCAGGTATAATGTACATTCTATCAGGAAGAGGGCACTTCTTGCCTCTCACTGAAGGCCGCGTAAGCCATCTACGTCAGCACATTCAGCTCGATCTCCCCGATCAATAGCTTGAAAAGCTATTAGGTCGATAGTTCAATCTCTTGAGGTCCCCGAGCCAGTAAAAGATATACCGGGCTCCTTGGATGATCCCGATCGAATAGGAGATCCTCCGGACCCCTCAGTGGACCACAAACCTCCCTCCTTACCTGGTTTCGAGCTGTATTACCTAGAGAGACCTAGAGGCCTCACTTCGTTCGGACCTTCTTCTCGACAGAAGCAATGTCCTAACCTGCTGGATAATTACCAAGCCCAACCAAGGCAGTGCCAGTCCCAGTCAGACTATAGATTCCAAGTATTGTTAGCATGTTTATGTCTCTAGTAGCCAAGGTGCCGCTTACGCCGTCGAGCTAGTCATCAACATGTTAGTACATATCTTTTTGCTAGTGCTTAAACCGTAAACCGGTCAGTGGCCACTTACACATTTTTCCGAATGATCGTTCGGCTTCACCTTCGACGAATCCGGTACCGGGGTAGCCACAGCCACGGCGGCGAGGGAGGCAATAAGAACAGTAACTGACTTCATTGTCTTGAATAGAAAGCGTAGTGGTAGTAAAAGAATGTGGTGGTTTGGAAATGTTGGATTGGAGTATGATTAGAGGATTAAAGGTCGAAAGACAAGGCGGTATAAATATTCGTTGCTTCTCACTTACGCAGGACATCAGCCTTGGTACATACATACCGGTACATATAGCTGAATTATCACATTTTAATGAGTGTTAAAGCAACGTGACTTTTGCAGGGGGGCCTGTCACTGTGTCAGTACAATTCTCACAGTCTTTTTGCACTGTCCTAATTTTCCTCCGCCCAAGCAAGGGTCATTCGTACCTGCACGTTTTACTTTAAGGCCGCGAGGCCACGGAATCAAAACGGTCTGCACCCAACGAAGATCCGGCGCACAATCTGCCGAGACCACGAAACCTTCTAAGGCTACCAAAAACAATGCCTTAGACTCTAATCTTATAGCTAATGAGGTTATTATCAGGCTAGTCAGGCCATAGGAAAGCTGTCGCATCTACCCGTTGGCTGAAGCTAGGCGGGGCGCCTAGTCAACCAACGGGTACCTTGAGAGCTCTCGGCACAGGCGCGTAAAAGGGCTTGAACTGAGGGTGTGTATATGAAGGTAACAAAAGAGAGCTAGCTGTCTTGAGTCCCCACTTAAATAGGAGCGCAAGTGGACACTGTGTCATGCACCCGTACCGGACTACATCCTATGTGTCACGACCCTGGGCGCCAGCGTAGAGCCGCCAGCGCAGCACCTCACCAGTGTCACGTGCCCAAGCAGCATCACGTGCCCACGCGCGACCTCGTGTCTATATAAGGGCCCGCTCGGTCGTGTAGTCTAGTCTTCCTTTCTTGCTCCTTAGCTTTGAGTCTTCGTTCATAGTGCCAATACATCTTTATAGCCGTCAAGGCTCGTATGTGCCTGGCCGTAACACTATGCGCAATTGCTTAAACAAGTAATTTCCTCCCTTCCTTGTAATGCGTACTCCGTATCGGCGACTCAAAAAGCGGGATAAGCTGTTCTGGACTTACAACTACAATTAGTGGGTGAGCCAAATCACCCACTAAAGTGGGGGCCGGCACGAGTAGGAGCGAGGCAACAATCCCATAAATTAACTACCTGTTGGAACGGCGCTGCAGGAAGGGCGGCATGGGTCACCTGCCAGTCACGTGGGGCATTCAGCTGAGATTTCTGCGGGGCACATTTCTAGCCGGAAGGGGGCATCACACATATCGCTCTGACACACACACAGCCGTGCCTATAAGCTCCGATTAACCTCTTCTGTGTGCCCACTATCGTTGCCACCTTTCTTCATTCGGACGAGCCGCAGAACCGCTGTTCTGACACTACCTAATACACTTCGATCCCGCTATACCCATACTCCGCCGCCCCGCCCACTTAGAGGGCGAATAGGGGTTTAGATCCAACTTGTTATTTCCCCTGTTGTAAACTATCTGAAGTCAAAGAAGAAGAGCTGAATAGATGTCCGGGGGCCCCCCGGGCACACATTATGCCTCTATGAGCCTATGGCTTACCTTGGTTCCACCCGTCCCTGCCTGGCTAGGCCGAGGCAAAGCCGTGGCTGTGTTCCTAAGGCAGACTGACAAAGCTATTGTATACGTATATTTCGGCCGTTCTCGTCAGGTGAGGACCGCGGGGCAACTTTCCTTAACAACACTTTAACTGTTCAATTTAGTTCGTTTTAAAACTCAGGGGTACAAGGTGTAGGAGCATGAAGACCACGGCAGGGAGAATAAAAGGGCATGACTCTTCTGCATCATTTTTAAGTACCCGTTGGCGGGGCCTTCGGCAGCCAACTAAGGGGCCCCCGTTACAGTATGGATGACGCGGAGCATGGAAGGGGACTAAAATATGTCCCGCATCCCCCTCCCACCGCCCCAGACCGCCAAGACCCGTTCCAATTTAGTGAGTTCTTACGGTAACAACATCCCCACATATAGGACGGGCGTCATACGTATGCAAATATTTTGAGTAATATCTCCTGGCAGCCGCTCAACCGAGCAACATCGCTGGCCGATAAGTATCTCAGTTGCGTATGTGACTCTAGCGGGCTCCCGGCAATGCCACGTGCGTCCTTGACCGCAGCTGCAACGGCGCGGAATGGCTTTATTTCACCTGCTTGTGCGTCTCGCGCGGGGAAGGATGCAGCCCCCATAGCTTCGTACTCCGCTCTTGGCGCAAGGCTCAGTCTTGCAATATGACGGAACGGCCACGGCTATCACATCGATGCTCCAGGGGAGCTCCTCTCGTCCACCGGGCACTGCCGCATGGAGGAGGTGCGTGGACTGGACGAGGCATGCCGATACCCATAAGGATCAGCTTCATGACAGCCTTGTATAAGTATGCCGTCAACGCCTTGCTTCTTCTCTTCTTATTCAAGAGTTTCTCTTTCTTCATCTACCAGCAGCCACTGTGCCCTCTGCATCCGGTCAGTGACGGTGCAGCCCGTTGTCCTTTCTTCTCACACCCCGTCTTCTACTCCTGAAGTCACTCATTCCCTTTTCTTTATTTTCTTTTATTTTCTTTATTTGAATCCACCCTTCACTTGTTGAATCACAAGATTCTTCTCTTCTATTGGATTCCGTAGTCAAAATGCCTTCCATTCCCAAGGCATGTGCGGCCCTCCTCGGCACAGTTGGCGCAGCCCACGCACTGCCAGCTTCCGCTTCAGGGCCGCTGTATTCCAATACCTCCTCCCCTATTCCGATTGAGCAAAGCGAGCAGGCTTGCAGATCGGAGGACTGCTGCAGCAGCTATGGCTGTCACACGAGCAGGCCCCTCGTCTCCTCTACCCCTGTGCCTGCTGAAGGCCGGGACCAGAGCAGCTCTGTGGGAGCACATGCAACCCAGTCTGCCACTCTTGCGCACCCCTCAACCACCTTGGTGCAATCGACGCCTGTTGTCTCCTTGACCCCTGCGAACCAAAACCGAAGCAGCACTGTAGGCGCACAAGTCACCCGGTCCGCAGCCCATGGACATCCCTTACCAACCTTGCTGCACTCAACGCACGTTATCTCCTCGACCCCAACGGCTCAAAATCGAAGCAGCTCCAGGGCGGAACGAGCGACCCAGTCACCCACGACCGGTGGACCCCAAACTACCCTATTGCCCGACATTCATTGGACATTTGATACGAAGCCGTCGGAGAACGTCAAGCCTATCCTTCCAGGCAAGGCCTCCCAGATGTTCTATGGTAACTCTGGTACGTGTTCACTTTAACGTTGCTGCACTCCTGACGTGACAGCCGTCCGTATATCGTTGGCTCTAACGGTATGTTCAAATAGACCCTGCCAAGGCTGGCGCCTTTGCCTTTGTTTCCTACTACTTCACTAGCCAGTCTGTCAACCTGGACCACTCGGACCATGTGTCGGTCACCAGCATTGGTGCAGACAGCTTGGCGGTGACGTTCAACAGCCAAGAAGCCTTTGAGCACGCATCCAACACCTGGTCCGCCAAGGACGGTTTGATCTTGATCGCATACGCCAAGGAATGCGGGGACTACGAAAAGGGTCAGCGATGCTACTTCGACGTCTCGAGCCTCGAGGTGGATGCCTCGACTAGCATCCGGACAATTGTCGCTCGTGGCCAGTCCAAGCACCCGGACGATATCACCTCGGGCGGTGACACGGAATGGGGCTGGTGGAACCCCCGGAACGGCAACGGCGCCGCACAGTCTGACCGTGAGGAAGGCGCGGGGCCGGACTTTAGCTGGAACGCCGGCCCCACTTCAACTCCGAGCTCCGACTCCGGCTCCCGCTCCGGCGCGAGCAAGCCTTCTGGACGGCCCCCCTGTGCCGCGCCGTCCGATGCAAAGTACGGCCTCCCCTCAGCTTGCCTGGGTGAATACTTTGACATGGACCTCGACAATGGCCTCGGCTACGTGCCCCTGGGCGACAAAAGCAGGGCCCTGTTGAACGACCTGGCGCCCGGGCTCGACTTGGGAGCCGCTCCACAGTCATCTGGTCACGGCTTGAACAGGACGGCCGCGTTCTCGAGGAGGCACCAGCGCGACCTCCTCTTGAAGAGGGGCTTTTGGTCGTCGATTTGGTCTGGTGCGGTCAACACCGTCGAGAAAGTCTTCAGCGACGCCTACGAGAAGGTTGCCGAGGCCATCAATTTCTCGGGCGGCTACAAAAAGGAGTTCTCGTGGGCTCTACCCGATCCCAGCAACCAAAATTCGGAGGCCAACAACCTCGTGGACAGTGGCGCCCAGGCGGTCGTTTCGCCATGGGGCAACGCCATCCTGCTCAAGTCGTTTGGTTCCCCCAAGGTCGAGGGCGACGTGACCAAGTATCTCAACATCTTTTGCGTCGACTGCGGCGCCAGGGGCAAGGCGAGTGTCGCCGGCAAGGCGAGCTGGAGCATGCTGCACGGCATCACCGAGGGCAGGGTCGAGCTCAACACGGACATGCACTTTGGACTGAAACTCGGCGTCGACGCCCACATCCGTTACAAGTCCGAGCTCTCGATGGATCTGCTCAGGGTGGGCCTGCCTGGCCTCAACTACGGCGTCGTCACCATCGCTCCGCAAGTGTCGGTCGGCACGCGCGTCGGGCTCGAGGCGGCGGCCAAGGGCAGGTTGCTGGCCGGCGCCGAGGTGGGCCTGCAAGCAGCCCGCGTCGTCGTCGACATTATGGACTCGTCCAAGAACGAGAAGAGCGGCTGGGAGCCCTACTTCAAGCCCGCCTTGGAGGCCGAGGGAGAGATTATTCTGTCGGCCTCCCTGGCGCTGCCCGTCGGCCTCGAGTGCGGCCTTGCAATCAGCGAGTGGCACAAGACGGTGGCAATTATCTACGAGCCTTCAATCAAGGCGACTGCTCAGGCCGCTGCGGCCATGAGCCTGGCGGATACCGGATCCTTCTCGGCCGGATTCAAGGAGCGAGACGGCTGCGCCGGCATCAGCACCCAAATCACATGGCGCAACAAGGTGTTTATCAACGTGGTGGATTTAGAAACAGTCAACCTGCACGATACTGGAGATCGTGAGCTGGTTCGCAAATGCTTCGCGTGAGTTTCCTCTGCCCCTATCCATGCTTTATCCCCCTACTCCGTCACGATGTGAATTTGATCTGTCCTTGGTCTCGCTGACACGACTCTATACAGCTTGCCTGCTTATAAGGGACCGTCACAACCCTTTAACGTCACTGAATCCAAGTCAAAGAGGTCAGAACCGTTGGCGCTGCCACCCGACTCTGTCTCCGACTTGACGAGGGAGTACCCGGCTCACGGATCCAAATACGTCACCTCGGCGCCGGAGCCTTTGAACGAATCGTCATACAGCGACGTGAATGGGTTCAACTACGCTCGTCTCGTCACCCCAGGAGGCAAAGCCATGGTGGTGTCGTGCGGCAACGGCAACCTGTACGCCGCCGACGCCGAGGGCGAGCGCAACCCCGATTGCTCCGAGCTGTTCCCGATCGGCCGAGACAACTCGATAGCCTCTGACGGCGCGCGCAAGCTGATGCACTACGACGCAACTACTATGAGCACGCTCGGCGTGTCCCGTCTGCGACTGCGGGCTGACAACGAGGTGACGCGGTCGGGCGTCGTCATCGTCTTGGCGCTCTACACGAACGAGAGCATGCCCGACAAGTCGTATTACCTGGGTGTGGATGTGGATGGCAACGTGCTGTACCCGACGATCTGCGACTTTACAGATGGCAGTGGGCCCAAGGTCTTCTTGGCGAGCGACCCTGAAAAGGGCCTCCACATGCTGGAGAGCGACGATGTCAAATATTCGGTAACCGGCGGAGCCGTGGGCAAGTGCTACAATCTGATGGTTTCGGGAGGGGCGTCCAAGAGTCGCCAAGCGAAATAACCGTGGATAAGATCGAATTGACATCAGAAGATGAAGAGGAGCCATTCAAATCCGCACTCACGCTCAAATTCAACACCGTGAGGACCTACGGCAACGCCATTACGAGACTCTGGGCAGAGCAACGAACGAGGAGAATAAATGGCCAGATGTTAAATCCATCGCCACATCCACGTGGTTTTGCAAACAAGGCTATCTATCGCTATCTTCTGCGACAGACTCACGAGAAAGGACGTGAGGAGTGGGCAGACCGTATGGTAGGCACCATGAAAGATGCCTACTCGCCTGCCAAAATACCAGAGCATACTCGTTATGCCTGGGGATTGAAAGAGAAGGCATGTGGACTGCGTACTTCCGTGGATTTTCTCTTCGGCAACCACATGTTGTTACGATCAAGCAACCGGAGGCCTATTGAGTTGGCCGACTGCTTCTGTCTTGAGTGTCCTAACAAGGGCGTCCAGGTTCACAACAACCCAACCTGCGCCTTGTTGTGGTTATGAATCAAGGCAAAACTAACCAGGACGGCCGAATCGAGTATGGGGCTTGCTTGAGGCATCGTGACCCTTATGCCTGTTTGGTTGGCCAACTCGCTTTCTGGCTTTTTTTTTTCGTTGGCAGGTTGACAGAGAGCCATTTCTGGACTTCTCGCGCCCCGAGAAATGGTATAATCTCGCAGGGAAGTAATTTGGAAAGGTAAGGGTCAACATGTAAATTGAGGTTCGTCTGTTCTATCTAAGAAGGGGTGAGCAAGAACCCTATTTATGACCAAGGAGAGTAGAAGAGTTCAAGGAAAGACGCATAAACTAATGAGGACAGATTGCAGATGTGCATAAGAAAAGGGGTAGTGGCTCAAACATAGGGGAATAGTCCTGTTACAGGATTCGTGATGTGTCAAGTGCAAAGGGTACGTATCCTGAATGCAACATATAATTCAGCCGTAGGCTGACTTTACATTAATCGAATAAGTTTTCCCAAATGCCTTGAGGAACGAAAGGCCTTCTAACGTGCCCCGCAGACCCCGCCCTCTCCCCCCAAAGGTTCTCCGCCCCTTGATTGGTCCCTTGTGATTGGTCCCTCCTTGCCTCCCTCCTCGTTGGTCGCTGCCCTTCCCCCGGCTTCTGTTGCCTTTTCGCGTGCCTTATCCCACCACTAGGCGCCTCCCACCCTGTCTGCCGCCTGCCGACTCTTCCCGCCTGCCGAACTCTTCATCGCGTCACCTAGCCCGGCCGCCTTGACTCTTCAGCATCACCGTCCAGCCAGCGCAACGCCTCCTCAACGGTCCTCTCGCTCAGTACCTCGAGCCTGGCCTGTGCGGCAGTCATCTCCTCGGGGACCCGGTTGCCCACCAAGTCTCTGTCCCGCACCTTGGACACGAGCATGATGCCGTCTAGAGTTCGGCAGCGCGATAGCTGCACGTACAGGCCGTACGGGTCGCACTGCGAGGGCACCACCGTTCCATCCATCTTCGTCGTCCGTGTCCTCGCAGCTCGGGCCACGCGCTCCAGCGTTTTGCCCTGCACCTTGTAGTCCGTGCACGCGAACGCTGCTGCGCACGGCAAACCCTTTCGGCTGACGTCGTTGCGTTGCCACGGCCTTTTTCGCTGGCACTGTATCTTAACGGTCATGGGTGTCAACAAGATCGTGCCCGGCGGCATCCCGACGAAGTGGAGATATCTCGTCGTCTCCGATTCGAGAATGATCCCCGCCGGCGGCCCGAAGTGGATCGTCATATCGGCCGAGATCCGATGCCCCGGGTACGCCTTGTCGACAATGACCTCCACCGCCGAGTAGCTCGCGCCGTTCACTAGCTTCAGCCCCTGGTGGGTGTTGTGGTTCACGACGATGGGCATCCCGGCCACGAACATGAAGACGGCCGGCACCGGGATCGCGCTATCGTCGCCCTGGTTGAGTATCATGATCGCCTCTTCCTCCGTCGGCAGCTCCTCCTTCCACTTGTGCTCGGAGATGAAAATGCGCATCGTCGACCGCTGCTGGACCCGGAACGCCAGGCTCGCCTCCATGTTCAGGTTCCACCGATTCCTATTGAGCGGCGTCACCACGGTGATGCCCGTCTCCCAAGGGATCCGCCTTCCCTCCCGGTAGCACCTTGAGTTGAGGAGGTTTAGATCCGTCCGATCCTGCACGCCTAGACGGATCCGCTTCAGCAGCCTCTGCAGCTCCGGGTCGCCGGCGGCGCGCATCTGCTCGTCCAGCATGACGACCGTCGTGAACCTCTTCCACAGTGCGTGCGCTTTGTCGTGCTGGTGACGCTGCTCGGCCTTGAACGAGTTGTCTACGTCCCACGAGATGGCCGCGCTAGGCAGGACGATCGACCTCTCTTGGACCGGCCGGAACTGCTGAAAATCTCCGCAGAAGAGGACGATGGGATCCCCGAAATCTTGCCGCGATCCGCGAAGCCGGCGAAGCCGCTCGTTCACGGCGTGCAGCGTCCGCGCCCCGAGCATGCTCACCTCGTCGATGACGAGCACATCCTTCTCCTGCCAATCCATTCGAGACTGGCCGTGGATGAACCGCTCCGCCTGTTTCGGCAGCCGCACCCCGTCAAGGTCTTTGACCATGTTCGCGCCCCCGCCCTTGGTCTTTAGTGAACCCGCAGGCGGAGTGGATCGTGATGCCGTTGATCCGCGCCGCCGCAGTCCCCGACGTCGCCGTGATCAGCAGACGATTCGAAAGGCTCTTTTACTGAACAGCTCGACGAGTGCCTCGATGATTCGCGACTTGCCGGTACCGCCCTCGCCACCGACGAACTGGCGCAGCTGGCAGGCATCGCCCCGTCGGTCTGCTGCATCAAATCGAGCTGGCGGCATATTATCAGAAAAGCGATGGACTGCCTCTTGTTCAGCGTCAGCCGTGTTGCCAACACCTTGCCCGCCGCGAGGAAGGAGGTTGATGGGCCAAACTGAACGTCCATTCCCGCCCCTGCGTCGATAGCGGTCTCGTCGGAGTCGGCCATCGTCATTTCGACCTCGTCCTCCCGAAACCGGTCATCACCTTCGCAACGCTGCGCGGCGATCGCTTTCCCAGGCGGCGGGCGTGCTTTGTATCCCTTGGATCATCCTCTCCTCTCCTTCGAGGCACTTACCTGCTGCGACTTGATAGCCTTGACCTGATCCTGCGGCGGTAGTGCGGCCCCGGAAAATACCCGCCCTGGCATGCTTAACCGCCTCTCCCTCGTTCGATCAGCGCCGTGGCCTCGAGCTCGGCCGTCGAGCGCAGCGCCGATTGCTGAAACCGACAGAGCTGCTGTATCATTGCCATGAGCTCCGGCGACTTGGCCGTCACCTGATTCGCTCCCACTGCACCTCGGACGACGTCGATGAGCCGCGTTGCGTCTCCGATGCTGTTGGGCTGATATGTCGCTGCAGACTCCGCGCCCGCCTCGCCTGCTCCACCCTCCTCGACGTGTGCGACCGTCGGGTCGCCATCGCCGGACGAGGCTGCCCATTGCTTGGCGTCGCGTTTTGCGTCTTCGGCGGATCGTCGAAGCAGCTGCACGTTGTCGACGAGACATGATATTCTCGGGGCCATAGCGTCTCGAGCCCGCGCCCAGATGCTGTTGATCTCACCTGTTCCTTCGCCCAGGAAGGACTCCCACGGCACGAACAGCGCAAGATGCTGCACGGCTGCCCTTCAGGGGGTGGGTTAGCCTCTCCGATAATGCCCGCTGACAGAGCAGTTGCCATACACACCTCCGGTAGCACGACTCGTCATCGTAGGTGAAGTCCTTGCTCAGGTAGCCGTCGAGGCAGACGGTAGCGTGCTTGCCCGGCCGCCTGAGCACCTGAACCCAGCGTCGTCCCGGCGCCCATCCATCCTCGAAAGACATCTCCCCAAGCCGCCCAGCTCTCGTCGTTGCCGATGCGTTTCAGTCTGACGATCGATATGTAGTCATACAGGCATAGGCCTTTCAGCAGCTCTCCCGGTGCTGGTACGCCTCGACGTGGGAGATTCTCAGGCCTTCTTCTTCGACGACGACCGACTCATCCAAGGTGTCATCCATAGCCGCAGCGCCACTGGCTTCTCGGAGATGCCGCCATCGCCGAAAGACTTCCCAGTACAGCAGAGAACAGTTCAGGTACGCCCACGCGCTGCTGTCGGTGAACTCGGCCGGATATCCGAGAAGGTGAGCGACGACCTCGACCTGTGATAGCGGACGCTCCGTGAACACGCGGTTCGCCACTCTCATCAGGAACTGTCGCGTCCTGTTCCCTTGACAGGGTCATCGGTGGCAGCGTCTCCGCCACCGTCCCGCCCTCCGTTGGCCGTGCCATCACCTGTTGAGGCGGCCAGGAGCTCGGCCGCGGCCGCCACACGCTTCCACACCGGGTCCTCCACCTTGGTCGCGTAGTTCGTGACATAATAGATGAGGGCCATTGTCTTGCGCTGCGTCGCAATGAAGGAAATATCATGGTTGTGCCGGAGCCCGACAGCAATAGCCTCGTTCCATCGATTGACCATGCTGTGTGTCCTCCGGATCTGCAGCACCCCGTCTGCCGTGAGGGCGGTCTTGTCGACTAACCTCCATGGCGCCTTGAACCGGCAGAGGTCCCCTCCGCCCTCCTTTGCCCAAGGAATACTTCACACAGGTCGGGCTATGCGTGTGCACCTGCGTCGCGCCGGCACAGAAGTTGGCCTCCTCGATAAACGCGGCCGAGAACTGCGCGGCGTTGTCCAGCAGGGAACCAATACCGCCCGTCACAGATCGCTCCGCTTGCACGGCGCAAAAACTTTCCTGGTCCAGATCCTGCCTTGCACGTCAACCCGGCCCCACTTGGCCATCAGAAGAGTACTTCAGGCTCCCGGTGGCACATCTTAGGTAGGCATTCTTACCTCTGAGAAGACGCTATCGATGTATCGGACAATTCGCTCGCGATACGCCGCCTGATCCTCCCCGTGGATGTCGGCAAGCATCGAGCTGAGATGCGCGTTCCCGTGCAGCCAGAGCAAGCCGTGAACATGAAGCGCCTTCGTTCGTTCGTCTCCACGGCGCCATAGTACTTGCCGATGCGCCCGAATACCGACTCTTCACCGACCTTCACGTAATGATCGAAGAATAGCTTCATCTCGCGGTGGAAGAACACGGCCGAGCTCATGGGATCCGATATCGCCAGCCGTGCCCGCTTATACGCATCCCCAAGGCCTTCTAAGAACTCCTCGGCCGCGTCGGGATCGCGTGTGCGGTATGCCGCCAGTCGCAGCTTCACCGGGTTCGTAATGTCGTTCGGGTTGATGGTGAACCAGATGGCCGGCACGCCATATCCGACGATGAGCGACTGGATTTTCCGCCGCATATTGAGACGGACCTCTCTCGACATGGGCTGCCGGTGGCCGTAAAGCGAGAGGCTCCTGAGAAGCTCCTTCACGTCACCATCGGTCGTCTTACCCGAGCTCTCCAACTCGACCCTCGCCGCCGCTAGCCTTTCTGTGGTCATCGAACGCACGATGCGCTCTACCTTGCGGAAGTTCTTCCTCCCACACTCAACATGCTGACCCGGCGGTTCCTCGACCGCACCCCATGTTGAAGACGAGAAATGCGAAGATGTGGTGCAGTGCAAATCGACCACCATGGCGCCGGAGCACGATCTCGGCCCACGCCTGAAGGTTCAAGCTTCGAGACGATACGGGTCTCCGCGGCCGCCTCTGCCTCGACAGCCCTGCCTCGCAAGTTGGCCGTGACCTTCCCGCGTCGACCATGGTCTCTTCAACCAGCCTTGGTCCCCAACGCCAAATGGGAACAGGGTCGGGAACGTCCTGGCAAAGAAGGACGCCTCAAAGGAATCGGTAAACTCACCCCGCGAAACCCGGATGTATGGCTCACAACCACCGTCGCCACGCCCCCGAACCCCCCCGGCTAGGGACCCGACCCACGCTCTCGGGCCCGCACGGCCGTCGTCGGCACCTTCACCAACAGCGTCACAGGCAAACTGCAGCTTCTCCACGTCCGCGACGTCTGGCGGTCCGTCGAGCGCGAACATGCCAGAAGACGTCACCTCGTTGATCGCTGGAACGTTCTGGTCGGGGCAGGCGTCACTTCCATCGCGAACCGCGCCTTCTCCGTTGGGCCCGTGACCTTCACCCTGGCCGCCGGCTTCTTGTCCTTGGTTGAGCAGGGCGAAGAGCTCCTCGATCTCACGTGTATCGAGTCTCCCAGCTCTCCATCTCCGCCGCGTCGATCTCGATCTCGGCGTAGTGGGGTTGTTCCGCTTCAGCCAGACAAGGGCCCTCTCGACCACCCGCCGCCTCACCGACAAGAGACTCGACAGGTCGCTCGGTGCCGGCTTCTCCGCGCCCTGCCACGAGATGTGGATCTCGTCCAGTGCTTGCAAAAGGGTGCGGGAGCACTTTGGTGGCCAGCTCCTGCACATTGTTCGGAAACACCGTGATGTGGCCCTGACATGCCTCGGATACTTCACGCTCTGCCTCTGCCCGCCCGGAATGCTATATCTCGTGACAAACCCGTAACATGAGTTCAGCGAGATGAGCTTCTCTTCGACCGGCGTCAGTCCCTTGAGCTCATCGGGGAACATGTGCTCGCAGCCAAGGCGACTGTGAAGGTGGATCGCCGGCGACAGGCTCCTGCGCGCCAGGCATCGGCCACACTCGGCGCACACCGACACGGACTCGCCCTCGGGAAAGCAACTCCGGCATGAAAATGGTGAGCGGCCGCCCTTTGGTACGCAACTTGACAGCCAATGATCCCATGTAATCTCCTCAACTCTCCTCTCGTACACTTGCGGTAGCACACCATGCAGGTCCGTATCGGCAACGTGCTCGCATCGTGGAACGCCTGATAGAAGTCTCGCACCGTCGACACCTTCCTCTCGAGCGGTATTGGCGTGCACCACGTCTGATCGTTAGACAATCTCTCCTTCAAGGCAAAGTCTTCCTCCAAAAAGCGCAGCACACTCGCCAGGTCTTCGGCCTGCAGCTCCCGTCTCCTATGCCTTCCGATTCCACTTCGGACCTGTTTTATCGGGCGCCCATCCCGGCTAGGAAGACGGGCTCTCTTCTCCCGCCTCCGGGACTGCCTCTGTCCGCGCAGCGAGCCGTCCGCTGCCTCTGCTGCGCCATCGTCCACACCCACCTGTGCCCTTGGCCGCCGAACCGGTCCCCGACGGAGCTTGGGCAAACCCCATGCAATCGATGCTGCAAATTGCGCCGTTCGTCTTAGGTCTTGGAAAGTCGTATCCTTGGGCTGGATAGGTCGGAGCGTCGGTCCCTTTTTCGAACGAACACCCGGGACACCGCCGGTCGCCGCCTTATCTCCCTGCCCGTCACCTTCAGGACCCTCTCCTGGGGCAAAACGGCCGATGAAGGGGTGGACTGTTAGAGCCCACTGCCCCCTGGTCTCCACGTTCTGTAGGCAACACGAACCTCGGAAGCGGACTCGGTGACTGACGTTGCGCGGAATTTCCGCTGCTGACCAAATTACGGGACTTCCGTGCTCTGCTTGACCGCAAACCGCCTCGCGGCGGTCTTCTCGGCAGTGACTTTGCGATCGCCTCTGCATGCTTTCTCCATGCGGTTTCTTCGACCGCAGACTGCTTAGGCTGAATCAGCCGGAACGTTAATGCTTCATTCGCCACTGATCTGTATCTCCCGAACCGCCCCAACCTTGTCTCCCGTGCTCCGTGCCCTTCTCGGAGTTGCCCCTGTATCATCTCCGCACCCCGAAACAGGCACTCCCCGTTCCTACCTCTTCTCCATCCTCGACTGACAACGAACAGGCTCCACGGTGAGCGGCCGCCTCGCCTAGCTTCCTGCAGGACTGTCCGCCATGCTACTGCCTCCTCGACGTCGACTAGCGTGGATTGGCAACAGGCTAGAAAGTTTTGGCTCCGGAGCACTTCCACTTGGATAATCTCGCTTCTTGGCGTACACTATTTCTTTCCGAGTGGGAAGCTTCCTAACGATCACTACTCTCATGGCCGTGGCGTTTCTTCCCTTATAATGCTTGCCTATGGTACCGAAGCGATGCAATACTACTACCCCTTTGTAATCCCCCATTTACCCTCCCTATGTGCGTCCACCGTCCCGGCCCTCGGCTGGTCTCCACGTGCGACCTGCTACCCCAGCTTTGCCAAAGGCGGCCCTTCCATCGCCGTGCTCTCTTTGCGCACTCCAGCGAATCCTGGCTACTGCCGACCTCCGGCACATGGGGTGGCCGCGCCAACCGCCCGCCGCACACTTCCAACCATACTCTCCGGCCCTTCCAACGCCGTCCCACCCACCTTGCGCATCAGTTGCTCCATCAATATCTGCCACTCCACCTCGTCGAGCAACAGCCAAAAGGCTGCCGGCGATAACATGTCCACGGTGTCCCTCGTGCAACCGGACTACCCGGCTAGGTTTGCTCCCTCGCCACCACCAACGTCGCATCAACGGCCTTCATGCTAAAGCGACAGCCAGGATCCCCCTGCCTGTCCTCTTGTAGTCACTAGCCACCGGAGTTTCGACTTGCAAACCCTCTTGAGAGTTCTCGTGACCAACTCGCATCCTCCTCCTCAGGTCGTCCCCTATATCCGACTTCACCGTGTCCCAATAGTGGACTCGACACGGTCGGCACCCGCCTCGCTCAGCCGCACGCAATGCCCATCCAACTACCGACGACCGTCAAAAAGGGACCCCTGCAATACTACCATAACCTCTTTCTTTCCTTCACTCTCATTCGTTATTGTCGCCTTTGCTATCTACTCCATGCAACGATGACACCGAAGGGTACTGCTGGACTTTCTTTCTCCGCAGACTTACCCACACTAACCTTACTGTTCGCCGACCTCCAACTTCTCGCGACATAGTCATCACCCCTACTCAACTTCCAACCCCGGCTCCTACTTCACTCACGACCATAGAACCAGATGGTCGAGACTGTTCAAGAACCTCGCCAGCTCATTCCCGCATACCCCCGCTTCTGATCTATCACCTAGGTAGCATTCTCTGACTCTTAAGTCTCCCCGACCCTAGCCGCGAGCCCTCTTTCGAGCAGCAAGAAAACCTGCTTTATAGGATGCCCACCTCCACTCTGCGTAACCCCTCATTTACACTTCCACGGTGACTACATCTGCCATGTTCTCACGATGTCGGCCTCCCAGCTCAACGTCGATACCTCGTCCTCCCGCGGCAACCTCTTGACAGCCAGAAAATGCTGGCGCCGACATGTCCATGATGGCCTTTGTCCAGCCCGGCTGCCCGGCTAGGTTCGCCTACCAGAATGAGCATCGTGTCAAAGGGCTCAACGCAGAAACCCTAGCGAGGGTCTTCCTTCCCACGCCCTCATGGCTGTCGACTCCGGAGTATGCAGCAATCCGGTCAGATACTGGCAATCCATCAACCTGCATCTTCTTCAGCCTTAATATTTCCATATACAACCAACAGATAATCTCCTCGGAATGGACCGAGCAATGGTTCTTCATGGTCGGCCGTGTTCATCCCTTTGCCCTGACGTGGGAAATCGAGCGACGTGATGGCTTGGAGTCGGACGATGATAACATCACAGAATACACCGTCCCCGCGCTTATAGTCCGCGATCACAGCTACCAACCGTGAGTCTATGCTCCAAATCTCTCTGTCGCCACTGCCCTCCCTGACGATATCCATAGAATTGTCACTCGCACCTCAGCTCGGTGGATACTTTCCCAACGATACAACCCATTGTCTCCTTCACGGGACCTGTCATCGGCTCCGGCCGCGACCTCCTGCATGGAAACTCGGCTGCGGCCCTTGACGACACCCAGCTGAGCTGCTGCGGCTTTGTCCAGCTCTCCACCTTTATTTGTCCTGGGATTCCCGGCAAAACCCCCTTCAAGGGCTTTCACCCTTCCAAGTTTTCGTCATCTTCCCCATTCACGCTAATCCTTGGACCTCCTATGCAAGAAGATGACCGAGAGGCGCGACAGCCAGTTCCAGTCGAACACTCTCTTCACCTGTACGGGCAAAATCGCCGGCTTACTGGATCACCAGATCATGAAACATGCCCCGGCTTTCGACCAAGACTATATCTTCATCGTCGTCCCCGACACGTGGACTTTCCACGACAAGGCCATGTCCGACCAGGCTTCTGCAACACAACTACTGCCGACGACACCCAAGAGCGCGGTCGGCAATCCCTCGGACTATAGCGTTGCGTTGGCCAGGTTTACCTCTACGAAGAAACCCAAGGCCGCCCAAAGCCCCGCCTCCCCCACGCCGCATGCTTCTGGCCCAGTCGATCCTTATGCTGGCATCAAGTCGGTCATTGCCCGATCCCTACCAAACCCCAACCAAGAGACCGCGACTTTCTCCCGAAACTTCCACCATAATCACCGACTGTGACGGTCAAGACTCCCAAATCCGATACCTCCTCCTTTCTGTCCCCGGAAGACCCGCAGAGTCAGAGACGGACACCGAACAGGTCAATCACCAAGACACATCCGCCTCTGGCTCTATCAGACCTCCCGCGTCGATATCTTCCCGACCACTGCGCGCCCGACGTCCGCCCAAGAATATTCTCTAAACTTTAAAGCATCAAACGAAACAATACAACATGACAACATGTCTCATCATCCTCAAAATCAACTGCCAAAGGCTCGAATAGCACATTCTCTTCTCTTCTTGTTCTCCCTTTCATGAAGACGATCAAGTCAAAACTTCCCCAATATACTCCTTATTCTGTTTATACCTACGACTTATACCGGTAGCACATGTAAATTTTCCGAGCCTTCCACTCGCCCAGACGTGCATTACCCACTCACATCTCTCTTCAACCCTGCCGTCTCTCCACGCCCTTTGAGTTTGCGCCTTTTTAAACAAAATCTCCCTCCAGCGGCCTAGCCTGCCTCCCCGACGCTCTGTCTCGGTTTCACTCACGATAATGCTCTACGTCTCTCGCCGTGTCTCGTATCTCGACCTCACTCTTCTTCCTGTCTCAATCTACTGTCGCCAACTCTCTCTCTCTTCTGTAGCCAACTCTTCTCCAGGTTCTCTGATTGGTTGTATGGTTTCTCGTAACTCAAAATTTCGTGGGTCCGACTTGCCCTGAATGTCACAGAGCTACTCTGAGCATCGCGGGTCGCCAACAAACCCATCGTACGCAGCTGCTTTCAACCGCAGTGAACCCTATGCCTCATCGAGGGTCTCAAGGTGGCGTGGTTTCCATCGTATGCATTCGCTGTGGCGAGGAGACCAAACTTGACAATGATTAGATGGAATACTGCAGCCGATGTCGCGAGTGTTGGTTTCAGATGGGAATTGATTATGACGGCATTTGCTCGCGTTGCTATCGAAAGGATGAGAAGCGCGGCTCTGACGAGCCTTATTTCTTCTCTGCCGAAAATCAACTTGACTTTGGTCCCGTACCGACACGATTGCCTGAGCTCACGCCTACAGAAGAGTCATTGATCGCTCGCGTCCACGTCCATGTGAACATCATGCTGGTGCGAGGGCAGCAGTACAAGTATCGGGGGCATGTCGTTCACTTTCTTCGTGAGGTTGGCTTGGTGTACAACCAGCTCCCACTTCTGCCACGGGAGTTAAACACGGTGTTGCTGCGTCCTGCCAACACGTCATCACACGCCAATCTAAGCCGGCAATTTACCCGTCAGTTCCGTGTGCGCCGCCAGGCGGTTATGATATGGCGACTACCTCCGCCATCACCATCCTGGATACCGATGCATCGTCATCGACAACGAGCGACTGAGCCAACTGCCCGAGGACGGCAATGTGGTGGACGCCATTCCCAAAGCCAGGTGGAGGCTGCCGATGTAAGACCGGAGGAGGAAGATCAGGAGGCGGAGCCTGACCTAGAGGACGCGGCTGCGGTACCGGACCTGTTGACCAAGGACACGAGCTCGATGCTCTGCGGTCTATTCTCGTGGGCGAGCCAGAACCGGAGGCAAGTCTTCCTCTTGCCACAGGCTCCCAAGAGCGGGCGCGGCACCAGCAGCTGCGGCTCCCGAATATACGGCATACGCCGATCAATGAGTTCAATCGCTCTCATGCCCTGCTCTCATTGGCATTCCCATGCCTCTTCCCAGACGGGAGAGCCGACTTTGTCGAGCCTCGCTTGCGGTCGATAGATTACAAGGATTACATCGAGCACGCGATGCGGTGGCACGACGGGCGTTTTGCGCGGCACCCAACCTTCCGTTTTGTCGCATTCAATACCCTGATGCGGTCCCAAGCACGTGCGCGGTCGAAGTTCTTCGTGAAGCAACATGATGGCACCCGTGAAGCGCTCGCGAGAGCAGCTTATTCAGGCGCTCGAACACAGCGAGGATCCCGAGGCGCAGGCGCTGATAAACTCAATCACAAGGCATGCGGTGTCGATTCGCGGTACGCGCCCTTTGGAACAGAAAGAGGCGGGACCTCGAGGCGTATGCGTACAGCCTGGGCTGTCCTGGCGCATTTATCACATTTAGCCCAGCCGATTTGCACTGGCGGAGCCTCTACCAACACATGCCCCGATATGGAGAATGGCTGCGCGCGTCCGAGCCGGAAAGGATGGCATTGTCGCGGTACTTATTGCGTCAGAACCCTCACATTGCTGCTTTCCACTTCTACCGCCGATACTGCTTCTTTCGAGATATCGTGTTGCGGAAAAAGTTCAACGTCACGGATTACTGGGATCGATATGAATGGCAAGGCCGTGGCAGTCCGCACAACCACGGTCTGTACTGGATGCAGGAGGGCCCAGCCGCCGACATGGAGGACGAAGCTGCTCGTGACATGTTTGCACGCGTATGGGGCTTCCACGTCACGGCCGTGAACCCGGAGCCCCGTAGGACTGTGCCTCAGGGGGAGGGCAATCCGCTGAGCGTGGATCCGCTGGGCGTGGAGATGACATTCCTGCGGCTCTCGCAAATCGTCAACCGCTGCCAGCGCCACAGATGCAATACCACGTACTGCTTGCGAGTCAGAAGGGAAGCGGTGACCTCGCGAGGGACATGGAAGGAGCTGCTGGCGACATTGAGGCGGCCAACGTGGCGAATCCGGAAAGGAGTGTCGTTTCGACTTCCCCGTGCCTTGAGAGAGCTGGCCGCGGTCATCAGGAAGGAAGGCAGGTCGTACTACATCTTCGAGGCGGCCCGCAACGACAGCCTCATGAACCATTTCAATCCTGCCATCATTCTGGGATGGTTGGCCAACATTGACATATCTCCATGCACCAGCTTGCAAGCAGTCATTACATACGCTGCCAAGTATTGCAGCAAATCGGAGAAGAAGACAGAGCCTTACTGCAGGCTTGCGGATCAGATTTTGCCGCATACAGCACACCACCAACCTCTGTTGTCCTTCTCCTCTCGCCTCATGAACAAGCTGATTGCGGAGAGAGATTATTCAGCGCAGGAAATCTCCCACTTGCTACTCAATATCCCTCTGCAGGAAGGGACTCGGGTGGTTGTGTACGTCGACTGCCGCCCGTTGGAGCAGCATGCGCGGTCGTACCGCGTCGATGATGATGTCAGTGAGGCTGTCGGCAGCTACCGGAAATATCTGCAGAGAAATGACCAGCATGAGAGTATTACTTATCTCGAGTACCTGCAGTCGTACAATCTCAAGACATGGAGGAGACTCGGTGCGAACGCGAAGAAGAGGGTTCTGTCCTACTGTCCTCGGTATAGGCCAGTGGAAACCTCAACCCAGTTTCATGACTTCTGCCGCGTCAAGTTGATGATGGCCCATCCGCATCGCGCTCCGGAGGAGTTGCTTGCTGTGGACGGGCAGCGGTTTGAGTCCTTTGTTGCGGCGTACCGGTGTTGTCGGCAGCGACACCATTTCCATGAGGACGACCATTACGGGGAGGTGGGAACAAACGAGCTCCAGGCGGAGGACGATGAGTTTGAGCAGGAGGTCCATGACGAGCCCATCGCAGAGGAGGACTGGCATGAGCTCGCCCGCATGCTGCCAGACCGGCCGCTGGAGGAAGAGGACATCGACGTACTTGGCCGGCGAAATATCGACGTGAATTATGACTGGGCTCCTCACGTGGGACGATATACCAACGAGGATATTCTCAGCGGCAACTACTGGGAGCAACGCAAGGCGGAAAGCTCCTTTCCCTTGATGTGGAGCACCAGCCTCTGGAAGCACGCGATGCCCTGAATCCGGAGCAGCGCATCGTGTATGACACGGTGATGGGCCACTTTCTCGCCCAAGACCGTTCCCAGTTGTTACTCCATGTCGATGGTGGCGGTGGCACAGGCAAGTCATATCTCATCAACCTGCTCTCGGCGCACCTCCAGGCCGCTACACGCGGGAGAGTGACACCTGTCTGGCGTGCCGCACCGACGGGTGTCGCAGGGAACCAGATATCAGGCACTACTTTGCACTCGCTGCTTCACCTCCCGATCAACAAGGACTTCAGGCCGCTCTCCGCCATCGACAAGGCCCAGCTCCAGAAGAAGCTGAAGGATATTCAGTACCTAATCATTGACGAGAAGAGTATGCTGGGACTGCGTATGCTATCCTGGATCGACGACCGTCTCCGTGAGGCATTTCCGCATCGGAACGAGGAGTTCTTTGGCGGACTCAATATCCTTTTGGTCGGCGACTTCTTCCAGCTTCCCCCTGTTCTACAGAAACCGCTGTACTACGACAAAGAGGTGCAGGGAGTGGAGATCAAGGAAGGAACGCTTATATGCGCTTCGATAAGACCGTCTTCCTGAGCGTTGTTCAGCGGCAGTGCGGCGATGATCAGGCGTCCTTTCGCAAGGCTCTCGGAGAACTGCGGCCGCTCCTACTATCCCACGAGTCCTGGAAACTTCTCTCCGGCCGCGTGCAGGCAAAGCTAGACGATCAGGAGGTCGCCAGGTTCGCCAACGCCTTACGGGTATATGCCACGAAAGACCGGGTGAACGAATATAACCATTACCACCTTGACCGCCTCAACCGACCAGTCATTCAGGTCATCGCTACAAATGTTGGCCCCGGCGCGGCTGCTGCTCCGGACGACAAGGCGGGCAACCTTGCGAAACAGGTCCCTGTATGCATTGGTGCCCGCTTAATGCTGACGTGCAACCTCTGGCAACAAGTTGGCCTCTGCAACGGCGCTCGCGGCACAGTGCACAACATTGGCTGGGCACCTGGCGCTGATCCCATCCGAGACCAACCGTGTGTAATCATGATGGAGTTTGACAAATATACCGGACCGGCATTCCTGACCACCGCGGATGGTAGGAAGATTGTCCCGATTGTGGCAGTAAAAAGGGATTTCCTCGTTGGAGCAACACTCTGCACTCGCACTCAGTTTCCCCTGGTCGTATGCTACGCCATTACGGTTCATAAGTCGCAGAGCATCACCGAAGACAGGATCGTGACAGATCTGTCCTGCCGTGACTTTCAGACAGGTTTGAGTTATGTGGCCGTCTCGCGTGTAAAAACGCTACAGGGGTTGATGCTCGATGCCCCGTTCGACCGCAATCATCTGACATACATCCCCGGAGGGTATCAAGATGAAGATGAGGGACCAAAGATTTAGGAGTTGGCAGGTTCTCACTCAGAATCCGTATAAGAACGGCTAGGGGCTACGTAACTCCACTTGATGCTACCAAGACGTAGATGACGCAATGAATGCATGACTGTAGATTCTTGAATTTTCAGGCCTGCCTTACCGTTGACAGCAGACTTGCAGCCTTCGGCTGATTGTATGCCTTGCACCACTGGTCTAAAGTGCAAGGCGTGACGAAGTATTTTCTCTTTAAGCAGAAGTCACGAGGCTGAAAGACGAGATCCAAGAACGCAACAAGGCTGAGATCACTATAGTCACAACTATCAGCCCTTTCGGCAGAACACATCGTCAGACTGTTCGATACGAACAACAGCAAGGTATTCCAACATCCTCGCAACGAATGCAGTCTTCATCCCCGGAGACCAGAGCCCCAACGGCCATCACGACAACGACAGAGTTACCTCCACAGATCGGACTCCCACGTACTATTCGTACAGTCAGAGATCTCGTGAGGCTCTGGAGACATGGTCTGGCAGGCTATATGGACTCGGTTGACGCGTTAGAGAGGCGATGGGGCTCACAGTGGCGGCTACGTAATGAGAGGCAACTCTTTTCTACTCGCAAACGGATCGTCGATGAGGTGGTCTCTCGGTGACAGGCAAACGGCTGGTCAGAAGATGAGTCGGCGAGACAGCTGGACGAGGAGAGAGGGCAACGCTCATTAGATTGGCTTTTTAAGCAACTTAAAGGGCGTACAGGCCAAAATAAATAGCTCCTGGATCAGATTGTCAAGCGATATTCCGCCCCAGCCGAGGAGGCGTCGCAACCTACAGGGGCACCATTCTTGTGTATATTACTGGGACCTTTGTCCCCTTGACATTGGCAGTGGTTAAGGCCAATTTGACTCTCTATAACCCTCACATGCATGGCATCTTTCCAGTTACATGTGACAGAGATCACCGAGTGTCTATGGCCTAGGTCACCCCTGAGCAATCTAAGTCAGATTTGGCCATCTAGTCGTGACAAAACTGATGCCATCTTGTTCGTCTCGTTCTGACGAGTAAAATGATAGTATCTTTGTGTCCGTAGTGTAAAGAAAACCAAGCCCACGATGAGTCTAGCGTTGCCAAAGGCTGTTATACCAGTAATGAGAAGAATTGGAAATAGTCGACTATTTTAGTGGAGGTTTAGTGGAGATGTGGCGGCAGTGCGCTGAACGATACGCTGGAGACCGCCCGAAAATCCGACCCATTTCACGTTTCCGGACACAATATCACAACCACGCAAGCTACCGATACGCAAGTTAGATCAAATGAATCGTCAGACGCAGGGCTTCACGTAGGTACAATTTTTATTGTGCCGCGATGCGCAGCCGTCGGGCGCCTGCGTCGCGCTGCCGATATCACCAGGAAATCCGGGATATTACGGGCTGGGCTGTCATCTGCGGGGTCATCCGCCGATCACGCACTAAAAGCCCTGCGATATCCGCCAGCTATCTAACGGTACTCTAAAAGTCCGTCCAGAATTTGTCGCGAAGCAGATTTGATGTTCAATTGAACATACCGCCTGAACAACAGGTGGCTTGATTTTCGTGACAGTTATGAGCCCGGGAGGAGGGGTTACCCCTCCTGGAACTTCCCGGTAGCTGCGCACGACCACCTAGGCTAGCGCGCACCCCGATGGAGTCGGTGTTCGAGTCCCGCCTGGCTTCCCCGAAGTGTCTGCCTAGTAGGGGCCCAGGAAGAACAGGGAATCCGTTGTGTAAAAAGTCCCAAGATGCGAGTGTCTGTTCAGATGCGAAGATTTCAAGCATAAGGGTCCAGGAATCCCGGGATCGTCCCGGCCTCCCTGAGGGGGTGTGTCGCGAAGCAGATTTGATGTTCAATTGAACATACCGCCTGAACAACAGGTGGCTTGATTTTTCGTGACAGATTTCGAGGAGAAATACGTACTAGTTAAAAGGCCACCCCGTTACGTTAAACGGCCACCCAAAAGTGGGTCAAGTGTGGCTTGGTCGCGCGCAAGGTCCGATACCGCAAAGTTTGATCTCCGGATTTTCGTCCGCGTAGGTAACAACCGTGTCAAAAGTGGAGCTTTTCGCGATCTGCTGCAGCCGACGCCGCAACAATGGAAGCCGTCTACGCCCTCCAATTCGAATCCCACGAGGATGCCATCGCCGCCTGCCACGCTGCTGCCCGGGCGGAAGGGTTTGCCTTAGCCGTGCGTACGAAGAAGCCCTCTGCCGCCAATCCACAATGGATTCTCTTGAGATGCTCAAAGGGCCGCCACTGGCAGGATCAAGGCGATGAGGGCGCCCACGAATCCAAGCGCCGCCGCAAGACCAGCACTCAAAAGACCAACTGCGAGTTCCGCGTCATCGTGAGGAAGGCCAATGGCTCGGCCTCCAAGTCCACCCACCCGGGTGGCTGGGTCGTAGCGCCTTCTTCTTTAGGGGAAGCCCATAACCACGAATTTACTCCTGCTATCACACATAGCAGGTATCGTGCCGAGGTTATCCAGAGGCACCACGAGCATATCACCCACCTATACAACTGCGGCCTACGGCCTTTCCTCATCGCCTCGCACCTCCGTGGCCTCTCTCACGAAGATCCCGATCTCGCTGGCATCACTGGGCAACACGTGAGGAACGCAATTGCCTCGTACCGCCTCCAAGAGCTCACCGGCCGCACGCCAATTCAATTCCTCTACGATCAACTCAATACCTCCGACTTCTTCTTTCGGGATACACGTGACCAAGAGGGCCGGCTGACCGGCCTCTTTATCTCACCGCGTAGCGGCATTGAGCTGTGGCGGCAGTACGCGAATATCCTCCTTTTGGACTGCACGTACAAGACCAACCGCTTCAACATGCCTCTCCTCAACGTGTGCGGCTCTACAGCAGAGAGGAAGACCTTCTCCGTGGCCTCTATTTTCCTCAACGGCGAGGCAGAACCGCAATACCGCTGGGCGTTGCAGTGCCTGCTCGAGCTAGCAGCAGAGGAAGGAATCCCGATGCCGCGGGTCATCGTCACAGACCGTGACCTTGCCCTCATGAATGCCCTCGTTAGCTGCCCAGAACTCGAGCACGTTATTCACTTACTCTGCCGCTGGCACGTCAACAAGAACGTTCTTACGAAGTGTAGGCCACACTTCCCTAAGGCAATGAAGGAAGGGAACCGCGTTATCCGTACTCCTAAGTTCACGGCCTTCCTCAAGGAGTGGCATGCCCTCGTCAATGCCCCTGACGAGGCAAGCTACAATCAGCGACTACGGGAATTTACTGCTGCGGGCCGTCACCCACAGGCAGCAGTGGATTATGCGGTTAAAACGTGGCTCGAGCCCTGGAAGGAAAAAATTGTGCTGTATTACGTTGACCGTTATCGTCACCTAGGACATACGACGACCTCTATCGTGGAGGGCCTGCATTCTACAATGAAGCGGTTCCTTTGGTCCTCAACGGGTGACCTGACCTCCGTTTTCCGACGGTTCCAAGCCTTTTGGCGTCACCAGTCGGCCGAGATCCTCAATACACAACAAAAAGCCATACATAAGACATCAACCTCTACAATTAGACCGATCTTGGCGAAGATCCGGCCAATCCTCTCTAACTGGGCGCTCCAGAAGATAGGGGGCGAATACCGCGCCGTGGCAAGGGATGCCGCTTCAAACGACCAAGCAAAGCCGCCGTCCGGCCGCTGTGATCTTTTTCATCACTGCGGCTTCAAGTCAAGTCTTGGCCTCCCTTGCCGCCGCGATATTTTCAAGCGGCTCAATGCCGCCGCCGCTGTTCCCTTCGATATGAACGACGTTGACGAGTTCTGGCATCGCCAGAGGTGGCAGAACACAAGCCCTAACGATGCTCCGCACGATCCACTCCCTATGCGCGGGAAAGGCCGGCCCAAGGGTTCATGGAACCTCGAGGCAGCAGGAGGTCGTAACGGCACGCGGAGAGAGCCGTCAGCACACAATATCGCGGAATCCGACGAACGCAGCGAGGCCACAAGGCCGCCGTCGTCCACAGCGCCGGCGGCTCTTCAAAGTACGAAGACGAAGGCTACGGGTAAGAAGCGCAAGGCTGGGGGCAAGGCTGGAGGGAACGCTGCTGCTGCTACCGTCAACACCGCCGGCAGCGCTGCTGATGTGACCAAATGGGGGTTGGATTACCTTCAAGCCAATGGCGATTCGTACGAGCCTGGCACAGCGATGCCGCGAGCGTATCAGCGTGCCGTACGCCGCACGCCTGACTCTGACGATGAGCTTACTGGCCCGGGCGAGACGCAGGGCACAATTCGCTGTGCCACACAGCCAATCCCGATACCCTCAATTTGTCAAGGAGGTGAAGATATAGAGGATGAAGATGACCCTTTAGCCGATTTTAACGAGATGGACCGGCAGGTGGATGAGGAGGAGTCTGTACAGCAGGAGTTGTGTGCAGAGGGTCTACTATAGCTACCGGCGTTACCGCTGCATTTGAATTGGCGGAAGTGTGTTCTCTACGACTCCAATAACATGCCCCTACGTACATATATTTGCATCGCGGCCAGCTTGACTTTGCGGCTTCAACTGCGGCTTCAACATGCCCTCTGGCGCGCACCTCGATGCTGGCAGGAATGCGCGCACATACCTTTGCGGCATCGGACCTTGCGCGCGACCAAGCCACACTTGACCCACTTTTGGGTGGCCGTTTAACGTAACGGGGTGGCCTTTTAACTAGTACCGAGAAATAATGCAGAGGGTATGGCGGGAAGGCCAGCTTTCCACGTATCCTGAGAAGATGCCATAGATCTAGTCACCCTCTCGCTCGTCCGAACATCAACACACTCGCCGAATGCCTGTCTCGCTGCGCGGATTCATTGCATTCTAGTTCATCGATGCGGCAGAATGGATGGCAGGGAAGTAGAGAGCATGTAGCACATAGCCAGGGTTGTCATGATCCAACCTGCAGCAACACACATCCATCACCTCACATTAAGAACCAACAGCCCCGGCCACGGCCAAGAGTCCTCCCCATATGCCACATCTGTGGCGTTTCTTGGCTGCGTTTTCGTGAAACTGGTGATACTGCTCCATCAAGATCTTGCAAGGCGGCATTCGCATGCTCAACGGTACTGGCACGTCCTTGGGCGTTTCAGTGTTGATAACAATCCCGACGGGCGAGTCAAATAAGCGGGGAATTTGGGTCTCGCAAACATACGCATCGTCGGCCGATTCCAGAGGCGTGGTCGAGCAAGACTGTTGTCGGCTCGAAAGAGCCAACGAGGCGTACGAGCTGCCCGAGCTAGTGTAGGTCCTCCCTCCTCCAGCAACGCGCATGTGCTCGGGAGTGGCGTCGTGGGAGCGCGAGTTGCCTCGGGGTAAGGCAGGGCTGTGATAGTGGGTTGCAGGGATGTAGATCTCCTGCCGCCGCCTCTGCTCCTCCTCGGCCGCATCGCTATTGCATATCTCTCGACAATCTGAGCGCGGACGGGCTCGAGGAAGAAGTCGAGCTCGCGGTACAAGTCCTTCGTCGTGATCCTTAACTCCCACCCAAGCAGGAAGAGGAGCTGCTTTTCCATCATGTTGACCTCGGTGCGGGTGAAGCCGAAGCTGTACATCTCCGTGTTGATGTGAGTGTGATTGGCCCAATGCTTATTCTTGGGCGACCTGTCGTTGAGATACTTGGAGGCTAGGATGAGGGAAGCCAGGAAGATGCGGTGGATGGTGCACCGCTGACCGCGGGCCATGGGCTGCAGCTTGGACTTAACGCGGGCCAGGTAGACAAGCGTTGACATGAGCGTCGGTACCTGCACATTAGATGACACGACCAGCTGGGTGATGAACTCCCCCAGAGTCGGTATATTGTCTTCTTCGACGGGTATGGCGGACCAGAGTTCAGGGCTCTTTTGCGCGGGAGGGAGGTCCTGGTGCTTCGTCGCGGCCAAGAGGACAATCTTGTCACTGCTGACGGGCTGGTGGAGAAAATGCTCGAGTGCGGCCTTGTTGAGTTCATCCATGGTGAGGTGCAACGACGCCATATTGGGCTGTAAGGATTAGCTGTGTTAGGGGGGACCATGCAGCTGAGTCGGCGACATGGTGATGGGCGGATTCGCGGAATGGCACAATCGCACCCAAGTAGAGCCAGTAGTAACGACGACGGCGGCGGTGGTGGTAAAAGATATAGACGTGGCCTTTTGACGATGGGAAGGGAAACAGTGAGAATTGTTGGTTTCGAAAAGCAAAGGCAAAGCTTTTGCCTCGGCGGGTCTGGAACCAGCGCTGCAGTCATAGCTGGCTGCTTTCACACACCCGATTCGGGCACTTTGCCTCCAATATGCAATGTTCCCTTCTAACAGCACGGCAACGAGATCACCCACCGCCTGTGGTCTCTGAGTCCTCCTTGCGTCCGAACCTATGTGGAGCCGTTGCATTTTGTTAGTTGGGAGGGGTGGAGGCAGGGGTTGCAGCGACCCGCATCATTCATTTGCTTTGGTTCTCGCTTCCCCAACCAAAATGCTGTTGCCAACGGTAAGTTGCTAGAACGTCCGGAGCGACGCAAGGGACGGGGAGACAAACGGGAGCGGGAGGAATGAGAAACGCTACACAGTTCAATCAAACGGTCGCGGCAGTTGCCGTGTCCGTCCCGAGTGCTAGTGCCTTCGTAAGCCAACTTGGGTCGTAGACATGCAGAAAAACCCGTGGACAGCTTTTTTGAAAATGACCTACACCATTCCACGCATGTCGCATCTCACTTTTAAGACATATAAAATGAGCGTATGATTTACTTATTATTTGAAGCCATTGAAAATGCAAAGTGGAGTGCGTGGTGCGGTGTGCGCGGCGTTGAGGCTGCACTAAAAATGTTGGATCAAATGTCCCGTCTCACGAAGAGAGCATGCAAGTGGGCATTGATGTGTAACTGTCAGAGGGAGCAGACTGACGGTCTAATCCGCACACGTATAAACTCCGGTGAAAGAGGCAGGTCAGACACAGGGACTTGAGTCAGGTATCGATACAGTAGAGGAACATTGCCTAATCGGGATACACGGAATTGGCCTGATTCAGGGCCTCCACGGGTCCCAGATAGGTATCTATTCGTATAAATACCCCTCAATGTCACACAGATAGATAAAAAACATGCATCATCGTTTGGACTCAATTGTGCCTGCCCTTATCCTTCCGCCCGCGCTCTCAGCTTGCTGAGAGTAACAATGGGTGTGATCGTTGTATTTCGTTGTGTCTGTCCCTCCTGAATGCCCTCTTCCCCCACCCCTCTTTCGGTAACACCCCTCTTTCGGCCTCACTGCGTCGTGCAACGCACCACGTCATGCAACAGATTACCCGACCGGCACAGGAAGGAAAAGAAAGGGGGGGGGAGTTTTTACCAATTGAAACCATGTGTACTTTCGTACTTGCACCACAAGACGGAGAGACACAGACAGGGTGACTCCCAGGCTCGGAACCAAGGAGAAAGGTGGAAATTGATTTTGCGCCTCTTTCCCTATTGTCGTCGAAGCCCTCCCGATTGCTCCAGGCCCGGCCCAACAACACTGCGCACCAAGGATCCATCTCACACACGCCTATAGACACGCCTACGTAGCCTTAACACCCCGACGATGCAGACATGGCAGTAACTGAACGGGGTGAAATCCATCAGACAGAGCTGGGTATTAATGAATGCTCCTTAAACACTATTTGGCCCAAGAGCGCGACCCCGTGTGAGAGTTCTGTAAAGAGCTGCCTTTGAACATTCATGAGCCGTACCTGTCGCGAAGCAGATTTGATGTTCAATTGAACATGGCTCTAGTTAATGGGCCCTTGGTTTTCCTTATCGGGCCCTTGAAGTGTGGCTAAATAGTCACGTGACTGCCGCGTCCTTTCCCCGCCTTAAACCTGAGCCGTCAACTGTGAAAGCTTGTCACTAATTAACTTAGTGTAGAGCTAGGAGCATATCAGGCCAGACAACCAGTCACCATTGGAGGTGGCCTCCACTTTTGGTGGACTGGTGCAACACTTAGAACGCATACCAAAGTGAGGGCATCCCCAACGCACCAACGCCGCACCGATGGAGTCACTTTTCCGCCAGAAGTTCGAGACCTGGCAAGCTGCTGCAGAGAGCGCCGTAGCTGCATTACGGAGCGAGAGCCTAATCAGGGACTGTGTCGCACCGGCGCGCAGGCAAAGCCGCAAAGTAGGGTTGACAGCAGGCTTGGAAATCGATCGTACAATCGATTTGATCGAATCGATTAATCGAATCGATTTCGATTTCGATCGATCGATTAGAAGTCCTGCTCGATCGATATCGTATCGATCCAACCTCCAATCGATCGATTTGATCGTCGTTCGCCATGTCCATACAAGGTGTCCAGGGTAGGCTGCGTAGGTTGGATGCGTGACGATGCTGCCGCCCGACGCGTCTGCCAAACACCCTGGCAAACGACCGGGGTCCCAGGCAGCCAGTCATATCTATCTTGTTGCCGCGCGTCGCGTGTCGACAAAGTAAATTGATCTCTCCGTCTCTTGCGTTTGCAAGTCCTCCCGTTCAACGGAATCAGTACGCGTCGCAACCAGGAATTATTTCGGGCCTCAGCCTGTCCGAGTAGACTTCATACAGATTCGACCTTATCAGCCTCGCACCCTTCGATTTGACCTCGCCCACATTGTTTACGGACGTTTCCCACCATGGACGCGCTTGATGAGGACATAGAGATCGCCTCCTCCACGCCGCCGCCTTCGAGCCGACAACCAGTTCAGCATCAACTAAATATGCACCCATGGGGTTTCCAGATTATGAAGCTTGGACGACTGATAAATTTGGGCGGTTCCCCGGCTTCACGATTTGCCACGACCCTTCTCGAGAACGGACGTGGTGGTGGCAATTCGGATTCAGAATGAAGGACAACAGGTCACGGCCCCACAAGATCGTATGGATCTGCGAGAGATGCTTCCTCCGGGACAGGCCGAAGACAGCACATTACGTCTTCATCGCTTCGACTGGGAAGCGTCGTCCGACATCTGAGGAAGGAGCACAAAGTCGTGGTTTGTGCCACCTCTCCGTACCCCATCTCCACGTCGTTCGATCATGCCCGCTAACTTGTCAGCCACCTTCTAGACAACGTGCAGGCTCAGTTACCGGGAGTGGAGGTGCAGAACGGAACCTGCTTGATATGCTTCGCGCCGATCCGACGAACCCTCGAGATCAGACTCTTCTCAGCAATCTGCATACGTTATTCGATCCGAAGATGAATCAACTGCTCCTGCTCGACTGGCTTACATATCATAACCTCCCCTTTAATGTCGTAAACTCTGAGCGCTTCAGACGACTCCTTCTCTACAACAACCCGGCTCTCCAGGAAGGCCAGATACCAACTGGCAACGCTTGTGAATCTGCTACTAGATGAGTATAATCGCGCTCTTGGTCCGCTTTGCGAGCTGCTTCAAAGAGCGAGAAGTATGATTCATTTTACCTTTGATGGCTGGACTTCCCGACAAAACACATCATTCCTCGGTATCAACGCCCACTTTATCGACCAAGATTGGAACCAATGGGGAATCCTCTTGGCTTTGCCGGCTCTCGCGAAACGCCATACTGGAGCAGCGCTTGCAGATGAAGTTGCAGATACAATATGCGCGTTTGGTCTTGAAGACAGGTATAGAACCACAGTCAACACTTCTTGGGTCCGTTAGCTGACAATCTTGACTGTTATCCGGCGTCAGAATCGGGTACTACACGCTTGACAACGCTACGAATAATGATACGGCTGTGGAAGCGCTTGCCGCTGAGTTCGATTTCGACAGGGAAGAGCGTCGCATCCGCTGCGCCCTCATTTTCTGAACCTGGCCGTCAGGGCTATGATGTACGGCAGCAAAAGGGATAATTTCAACGAGTTGCTTGCTCATTGGGGCGATAAGGACTTTGTGGCTGAAGAGGAAGAGCAGCGCCAGTTGTCCGACGCTATCAATGAGCTGGCGACCGACGACGACTTCTGTGTGCCGAGCATGGAAGAAGGATTCGAGGTTGAAACAGTCCCAGAAGGCAGTCAGGATCAGGACGTACTGCCCGACATCATCAATGGCGAAGAAGTGGACAAGTACCGCAAGTTTGGGCCATTTGGCAAACTTCACAATATTGGCATTGCTCTTCGAACGAGCAGTCAACTTCTCGAGGTCTTTTACGAAGCTCAACGGCAAACCGCTCCTACTGAACCTATTCTTACGTGGGTTCAAAACGTCTGCACTCGCTGGCAATCCGATGAGGCGATGGCCTCACGCGCTCTGCTGAAGCGTACGGCTTTGAACAGGATGTTTTCCATCATCGAGGAACGATGGCTTGGCAAAGGCGGCAAAGAACAGGACAAACCAGCGATACTGAAAGAACAACTTTCCTTGAAGAATGGAAGGTCGTTGTTGCGGTTCAGAAGATCCTTCAGCCATTCAAGATCGCCTCGAAGCAACTCCAGGGCGAGGTATTGCTGGTAAACGCTCCACGTCAGGAGGGTTCGATGAGTACTTCCGGTGGTAGAGATGCTCCTTGACCACCTCGAACTAGCAGTTCAGGGAGTTATAATCGAAGAGAACGAAGATCAGACCATGAAAGAGGTTCACCTGTTCAATGACATGGACGCAAGAACTCGCAGGGTTTTGAAGATTTACATCAAGCTCGGATGGAAGAAGCTGAACGACTACTATAGCAAGCTGACCTCAACCGCATATGTAGCGGCAGTGGTGTTCCACCCCTGCAAGAAGTGGCGCGCTCTGGAACGGCTTTGGAGCCAACTCCCGTCTCGTCAGACGTCGGGTGGGAAAGAACATATGCGAGAAGCTTAGCGACAGTCTGGAAAGAGAGGTACAAGAACATGGCTCATCGGCAATCCTGCGATGGTGTTTCAGCGGATACGACTAATAGTGGCTTGGACTATATTGAGCGTCGATTGGCGTTTAGTCGATCATTGGCTTGCCCTGAGCCTCGAGGGCGGCAAATTAAAGGACCAAAGCAGTCAACCGCCTTGCAAGAACAGGACGAGCTTGATCAGTACCTATCAGAGCCGCCGGTGGAAAATATCGCATACAAAACGGACCCAATCGCTTGGTGGAAGGACGTTGGTGTTGCGCGGTTTCCTCGGCTGTCTTATATGGCTGTTGACTACCTTACCATCGCGTCGTCTTCAGCAGGAACGGAAAGAGATTTTAGCAGCTGTGGGAGGATGATAACACCACTGAGATCTCGCCTACGACGCCATATTGTGGCGATGGCGCAGTGTCTTCGTTCCTGGAGTAAAGCTGGCATCTATCAGCCGACACTTCCTCTTGGTCTGCTTGAAGGGGACAATTGGAGGCAAGTTCTTCAACTGATGGGCAAGATCACCCTAGATAGGGATGATTTTTAGTATTGATCGATTCGATCGTCGATCGATTCGAATCAAACAGCGATCGATCGATATCGATCGATTGAAGGTGACGATCGATAAAATTCGATCGATCAGGCTCGAAAATCGATCTATAAGATCGATTTCCAACTCTGGTTGACAGTCCGCCACAGTCGCAGCCACACTTCAAGGGCCCGATAAGGAAAACCAAGGGCCCATTAACTAGAGCCTTGAACATACCACCTAAACAACAGGTGGCTTGATTTTCGTGACAGTACCACCATGACACTCGACCCGACCCAACCTGCTGCTGCCCGCATGTTGCCTGTCACACTGCGTCACCGACGCCGTTGCCACTCGAGGCCACGCTTCCGCCAGGCGCCTGCTTCATCCGTCCAAGAAAAAAAATCAAAGTACTTCCCGAGTCAGTGCTCACGGCATCGCCGCCACAGCAGACGACGTGAATCATGCGTGTACAAACGCACGTTATTTTTCTCCCTCCTCGCAGCATGGATTCGACCCCGGGCCTCAGCATATGAGCGGGCTCCGGAAATGGCATCATCATGCTGAAAGGCTCATGTGGCCATGATTGTAGCCTTCGTCAACCAAGCAGCGTCGCCAGCCTCATCCTCGAGTCCCTATCTCGAGTGGCATCCTCGGACCCGGACCCGGCCTGCTGCTGCTGCTCTTGGCTCCGCACAGGTGAGTTGGGCGCCGTTGGCAGCTGACCCAGGGCTCCCGCCAGAGGCGGACGAGGTTGCGACCCGGGCTGGCCATTTTGGGGAGCCAAGGAACTGGGACTGGGCAGGCGGGCACCCCTAGACCTTGAAGCCTGCCATGTTCGCAAGGGCGGCAGCTCAATGGGAGTCTGGTCCAGGACTCGCGAGCTGCAAGCCGGCGACGTCGTGTAGTTGGAGCCGGCATCCGACTCCGCGGGCTCAGATGAGCAGGGCGAGGGTAAAGGCGCCTCGCCCCATGGGACATAACGGTGGAGTACATGGCCGTCGGCGGCTGGAGAGCGAGGGCAGGCGGCCGACCAAGGAAATGGGAGGCCACCCGGTCTCACCATGGGCAAGGGCACAACCCGTGGACACCTGTCGTCGTCAAAAAAGGCGTGCGTGTGTGTCTGTACATGCGCGTATGCGTGGGATGGTGCTGCTGGCGTGTGTACCACGGCGCGGCGGCGGTCGAGGCGCTTGCGGCGGTTCTGGCTACCGTTCCACCAATTCTTGACGGCGTTGTCGCTCCGGCCATGGAGTCGACGGGCGATTTCGGCCCAGCGCTTGCCAATCTCGTGTACAAGGCGTTCGATTTGCAGACCCTCCTCGGGAGTGATGGGCTCGTGGTCTAGCGTCGGCTTCAGGTTCTGGTGATAGCGCTCGCGACACTGCTTGGCGGTGCGCGAGCCCAGTGTCTGGGCTATGCGAACCCAGTTGAGAGGGCCATGTGCATGGACGAGCTGCATCAAATACTTGTCCTCTAAATTAGACCATGGTCCTCTTCGATGGCATGGCATGGCGACTTCGGCGGGCGTTGACTCGTCCTCTGCCGTCGTACGCGGCGAAAAGGAGTGAGTTGTCGAACGGCATCCGCTCCCAAATCCGGCTCGGGCTCCGTCCGACTTGAGCTCCAGGTCGGATGACTGACACCTTGGACACTAATGGCCGCTGTTCCTCGATGTCGGGTCAACTCCACCACGGATGCCGGGTGAGTGGATGGACGAGATGGGGACGGTAAATGGTTGAGTGCTGCTGGACGAAGTCGAGAATGGGCTCTTTTCCTTTGCTTGGTGAAGGCCGAGGTTGAGAATACAGTGGGCGAGTCGATAAAGCGTTTCGAGCGGATGCGGAGCTCTGGTTGCAACAAGGACTCGGATGAGATTGTGTTGGGTGAGAGGTTTGTGTTGTAAGGCAGGCGAGGCGAGGCGAGGCGAGGCACGGGAAGCAGGTGCGTAAAAAGATAGGTGATCCAACGTCCGGAGAGGGAGGAGGGCGTGGGAACGGACGAAGCAGACAGGGGACAAGGGTGGAGAGGAGAGGTGTGTGCGGGAAGAGACAGGAGGGGCGTGGGCCTGAGAAGCCAAAGTGTAAAGAAGCAAGTTCCCAGGAATGGCAGATGGCGCCTGTTGGTTTTGTTGATGCAGCAGCCGAATGGGGTCATGATGGCACAAGTCGACGATGGCCGGCCCTCAGGAACTCTGCATGTCGGTGCGGTAGGTGGGTGCCCAGGCACGTTAGTTGGGCGGCACGCAATGGCGAGCGTCATTGGAGGGTGATGATGGGCTGGGTTCAGGCAGGAGGGAACATTTGCATCTCGTAGATGCACGCTGCCTACCTACCTAGGTACCTAACCTGGGTACGTAACACGACCTTTTTTTTTCGTACTACTAGGGGGGCCTAAAAGTCGGCCGATCCCCGTGACCGTTCCACAGTCACGGGGGGGCCGTTGACCAAGGAAATGCGCTTTGACCGAGGAAAAAAAAAAGTGACTTATTAATAGGTGCGCGATACATCTATTGCTAGGTAGACATGTTTTAGACCACATCCCCTTTTATTGCATAAGACTTCCCTCCTTATTGCGTAATATCTCCGATGAACAACGTCATCACGACCTTTCGGTAATACCACGCCAAAGCTTCAAACCTTAGTCAAATCTGCTCGTCTTTGCAGCTATGGACTCATCGGAATCTAAAGATGCTGAATATCAAAGATGGATCGATTCTAGCACCGGCTTGCCTATCTTGACAACAACGAGTGGATGTGTGCAAGATACTCAACGTTCCGCGAGGCCTTCAACAGCGGCTGGAAGCGCAGCAACACCATTACATGGCCACAGTCTTATGATCGTGAGATTGTGGCGGCAGCAGCTCTCTCAGTGGCCAACGAGGCTGGCGAGCGCGCCGCAAGCCGTCAGGCGCTCTGCCTTGAAAGTGACGGCATTCAGATCACCTCTCTAGCTACTATTGGGGACTCACAAGGCACATTTAAAGTGATCAAGGAAACCTCGACGAATAGCTTAGACACCAAGACAAAAGTATCGCGATACGTGCCGTTGATCGTAGTGACGGGTGTGCATTAAAGCAAGCTATTGTGCAATTAATGAGGGAAAGGAGTGACTTCCTAACGCGCAAAAAATGGCGGGGCATGCATGTATCTAGATTCCTCGGTCAAAGCGCATTTCCTTGGTCAACGGCCCCCCCGTGACTGTGGAACGGTTACGGGGATCGGCCGACTTTTAGGCCCCCTAGTAGTGGTGACACGTCTGGAGCCTCTGCGTCGCAGAGGGGTCGGTTCGAAGCCGGCTGGAGGCACCCCTGGGCGAACAGGGTACACCCGGGTTCCCGCCCGTCAACACGGAACAGCGTCATGAGAGAACACAATCGGCGTACCAACCACCATCAATGACTAACACAACCACGCTTCAACCTCGACACATCGCGCTTCAGTTGCTGGGAATAGGATGCTGAACACTTGGAGAAATTGACCTTGAAGCAGGTCTGTCATGAAGCGAAAACAGTGGTACGGTTGGCGCAGCGTAAGATGATCTGTGGGGCTTGGGGGAGTCAAGTAACAAACGTGTTGAACTGTACGGAGTACCCATGCTTACCCCCCCTTCTGCTCACCCCCCCCTTATGCTCCGCCAAATGAGACAAACCTCACCAAAAAATCTGATTTTTGAACTGCTCATATTTCGGCGAACTATGGACATATAGATATAAAAGATACATCATTTGAATGAGAATTGAACACACTAATTCGTTCTTGGTCTTTTTTATGACGCGACCCTGTCGCGTGGTGCGCTGCGGAGGCCCAGATACGTTGACCTCAATCACCGAAGCTGTCTCCGTCTCCGACTCCACCACCTCCTCTAACCAGTCGCAATCCACCACAACGGCTTTCTTTGGACTCCCAATCTAATCCTCCTCCACCTTTAATAGGGCAGCCTTGCAGCACCTTGCGCTGTTCGTGCCGTGGGAGCGGTTCCTGCGCGAAGAAACTGGCGACATCAACAGCATCTGGGCGCGGGCGCGAGACGCTATGGCCCCGAGAATATCATGTCTCGTCGACAACGTGCAGCTGCTTCGACGATCGGCCAAAGACGCAAAGCGTGACGCCAAGCAATGGGCAGCCTCATCCGGAGACAGCGATCCGACGGCCGCACACGTAGAGGAGGGTGGGACCGACGACGCGGGCGTAGAATCTACAGCGACGTATCAGTCCAACAGCATCGGAGACGCGACGCGGCTGATCGACGTCGTCCGAGGTGCAGTGGGCACAAATCAAGTGGCGGCCAAGTCGCCAGCGCTCATGGCGATGATGCAGCAGCTCTGTCGGTTTCAGCAATCAACGCTGTGCTCGGCGGCCGAGCTCGAGGCCACCATGGAACCCGAACGAGGGGCGAGACGGATAGACATGCCGGGGCGGGTATTTTCCGGGGCCGCACCACCACCGCAGGATCAGGTCAGGGCCATCAGGTCGCAGCAGACGAGCGCCTCGAAGGAGAGGGAGAGGATGATCCAAGGCATACAAAGCATGCCCGCGGCCCGGGAAAGCGACCGCCGCGCCGCGCTGCGGAGGGTGATGATCGGCTTCGGGGAGGACGATGTCGATATGACGACGGCCGACTCCGACAACACTGCAGGCGACGCGGACGCGGGAATGCAGGTCCAACTTGGCCCATCGACCTCATTCTCCGCGGCGGGCAGAGAGTTGGCAAAACGACTGACGCTAAACAGAAGGCAGTCGATTGCCTTCTTAATTGTATGCCGCCAGCTCGACTTGACGCGACAAAACGACGGAGGCGACGTCGGCTAGCTCTGCTAGTTCGTCGGCGGCGAGGGCGGGACCGGTAAGTCGCGAATCATCGAGGCACTCACTCATCGGGTTGTTCAGTAGGAAGGGCCTTTCGCATCGCCCGCTCATACCGTACGACAACGGATTGTACTCGGTTGACTGCAGCTAACGATAACTCGTCTCTCCTGCGTGCTGCGTTTACGGTTAATTACAAAGCAGGATGAAGATGTGCCTCGCTGACCAACAACGGCGTCACTGCGTCAGGCTCAATAGCTGAGCGATCCACCGTATCCACCACTCTACCGTGACTAAACGACGTCTTCCTATAAGCTACAGGGAAGGGGGAGGTTCGATATATCGTATATAGTTAGATTGTGCCTGCCAGGAAGCAGTAGAGAGACTCCTTCGGAGTCTTGACTATGACTCAATTCTCTTAGTGCTGTCGCGTAGAATATATGCGTTAATTGACGTTGTCACCTGCAATCAACAGGTGGCTCCCACTTTCGCTAGAATGGCAGCGTGGGATTATTCGTGACAAGTACAGGTTTGAAGCGATTTAACAGCTGGTTGCCCGCTGCAGGCGAAAGGGGGTTCTAGGGGTCTCCCCAGGAAAGTTGAATGGCAGGTATACCACTTTCGCCTTCCTGGCTGGACATTCAGCCGTTAAGCCCTTGCCTTGGCAATTTAACGGATGTTCGAAGTATTTTAGCACCTCATGTTATGCGACATGGAGGTTAGGGCCCTCCCCACCGCATCGCTATCTTGCCCAACTAGCTGCTTCTAGACCTTGAACCCTGCGGTCCTTGCCAGCCTGATCGTCACCTCCGGACCCTGGCACGCGCGCCTGCCGCGATAATCGGTCCGAACTTTAACATGGGCGGGTCACATCAGGCGAACCCAGGAATGGAAGCATATGGACCAGCATCGTAGGACAGCCCGTTTAGTGATTCACGCGAAAAGGGACCCACTGTAGGTAATCTCGACTCGTCGATGAATAGGGGACGGCCCCGGATGCCATAAGGTTAAGGTTATGCACTGCCCCCGAACTAGCTGCGATTGACTCGACCAGGCGGCTCACCCACTAAGGTGGGGGCGGGCACGAGTAGTACCATCATCGACGGAGTTCCCGTTGGGGTCCAACGGCTCCACCAGCTAGTCAGTAAAACTCCCACGACTCATGTCTCTACCCACAATGAACTTGGATTGACGACTCGACATCGATAGCTTTAACTACGAGAAAGATGAAATTCACGAATCAGCTCCAAAGTGAGGCAAGGCTTCTCTTGCTCTATATGGGCTCGCATACTGTACGGTACTGTATGCATTACCGGTATGTTCATGCTCTCTTCGCCAGCCCAAGCGAATCCCAATAAAGTGGGGTGCTGGACACCCAAATGAACAGATCACCCGAATGAACAGAATATCGATCTTTATCTTCAAGCCCGCCGTAGCAGCCGGCCACAGCCCTCCTGATCAATTACATAAATCGGTTGTAACCGTTCTTCCAAGCCTCCATCTTCTGGATATCTTGGCGGCCTCCATAATAGATTTTCTTCACCCGTTACGGTACTGTCTTTCAGCCCTGTCATCTACCCGCCGAGTCTTCGCCACGTCATTATCCTGCATTTCTTGAACCATGTTACGTGCCTGGGCTACTGTAAGGACCCCTCCTGATTGTAGCTGTTTATTCTTCATACTCCGGCGACGTTTAGCGGTTTGTTCGGCCAGTCTCGTTCGTCCCAGGTCTCTTAAAGTGTGGACAAGTTCACTCCCTTGTGCCAGGGCCCCCATTAACAAACCTGTTGGAGTCACAGGCCCCGAGGCTGGCTGACCCGTCATCCGGTCATCGGACTACAGCGCGGCCCCATATAAAGCATGTCATCTCCGAAGGGCCACCCGACCATCTCAGTCCGATACCACAGTAGCCCATTCGCCGCCCCCAGCGAGCGCAATGCTGAGCGATCTCGCGGAGCGAGCCAGTCTTTGTGTGGCTCCCCTCGAGATACCCCCGTCCCAGCTGGAAGACGCTGCCAATGGATCGTGCAACTCGTCGCAACAGCACGTCAATCTCTATCTGCAATCCCACATGACCTCCCCCGCCACTCCCAAAGGCTCCCAGGAGGACCTGTCGCCCGAGGCGGCCGTCGACCCGCCCCTCTTCCACAACTTCCTACGGGCCTTCTTCCCCTTCAGCCCCAGTTGCGCCATGACCGAGTCGAGCGTCACCCTGCCGCTCGACGAGGGAGACGTCGTCTTGGTGCACTCGGTCCACACCAACGGATGGGCAGACGGAACCCTGCTGGCCACGGGCGCCAGGGGCTGGCTGCCCACAAACCATTGTAATGCCTACGAGCCCGACGACATGCGCAGCCTCCTCAACGCTCTTCTAAACTTCTGGGACCTTTTGCAGAGCACGTCCATGGACGACAATGAAATCTTCAGGAACCAAGAGTTCATGAAGGGCATCATCGCCGGCGTCCGCTCTCTCCTGGTATGTCTCGACTGCCGCCCGGCACCGAGCACAGCCGTCTAACCTGCCGCCCTGTTGAATGTAGGAACGCACAAACTGCCTGAACAGAGAGTCTCCGTAGTTTTGCGCAGCGACTCGCTTTGAAGGTCTCGAAAGTCGCTGCTCTCCGAACTTTCGCTGCTGGTCAAAACGGTAAAACGGTTGCAGAAGTGTCAGAAGGGCGCTCTCAACCCCGGAGGACGTCAACGACCTCGATGAGATGATTCTCAAGGCATTCAAGATCGTCATCAAGGCCGTCCGGTTCCTCGATATCCTGGACGAAGACACCAAGTCCCGGGCTTCGGCCGCTGTCACCGTCGTAGCCACCGTCGCCGAGGAATCGTATGTACCGCCGACGCCCGCCGAGCAAGCAACCTTGGACGCCAACAGCGGATCCGGCGCGCCAGCGTCGGAACTGGGCGGACTTCGGCTGCAAACGCTCCTGCCTCGCCCTGGGGCAAGCGCCTGAGGTCCCTCACCGCTCCCGTGCACCCCGCTCAGAACAGGCTGTCGCGAGGAAGCCTGCAGCAGGCCAATAGCCTCTCTAGCGCAATGGCGCATCGTGTAATTTGACACGGACCTCAGGCCATTTGTTCGAGGACATCACATGACCTTACTAATGGCCTGAGCTTGCTGAGTTAAGGGATCCGTGTATAAAGGGCACGTAGTGTGCCCCCTCATTCCCTTTCCTCCCTTCCTAGCTAGACATCTTGAATACAACCCATTGCGTTACTGCAGTACAGACCTCCCGACAATCTTAATATTATACCATGTCTCGGGACGCGAGAAGTCCGGAAATGGCTCTCTTTCAACCTGCCAACAAAAAAAAAGCCAGAAAGCGAGTTGGCCAACCAAACAGGCATAAGGGTCACGATGCCTCAAGCAAGCCCCATACTCGATTCGGCCGTTCTGGTTAGTTTTGCCTTGATTCATAACCACAACAAAGGCGTAGGTTGGGTTGTTGTGAACCTGGACGCCCTCGTTAGGACACTCAAGACAGAAGCAGTCGGCCAACTCAATAGGCCTCCGGTTGCTTGATCGTAACAACATGTGGTTGCCGAAGAGAAAATCCACGGAAGTACGCAGTCCACACGCCTTCTCTTTCAATCCCCAGGCACAATGAGTATGCTCTGGTATTTTGGCAGGCGAGTAGGCATCTTTAATGGTGCCTACCATACGGTCTGCCCACTCTTCACGTCCTTTCTCGTGAGTCTGTCGCAGAAGATAGCGATAAATAGCCTTGTTTGCAAAGCCACGTGGATGTGGCGATGGATTTAACATCTGGCCATTTATTCTCCTCGACGTTTTCTCGTACCCACTTGTCAATTGGCGTGCGTTTAGTGGGCACAGAGAGGTGAGTAGCGATTTGGACCGCAGTCAAGGGGTGGATGCTTTGGATGATTTGGTAGTCCTTTTCGATGTTGATTTGCCTTGCTAGGGAGACTTTCCGTTGAATCCAGTGTGTCCATCAGTGTTGCTAATAATATAAACAATACGTATATTGGCAATATGGACCCCTCGCAATATTATTGTATTGTCAAGAGGTGCGTATTGTATTGCGCAATATGGCATTGGTCCATATTGTATTGTATTGCCAGTGACCAAATATATTGCCAGTAAAACAATATATCCTGTGGACAGGCTCTTCACTGCAGTGAGGTTATTCGAACTGGTTCAATTGGTTATATCTTGTGTAACTAGGGAAACGTGTCCCATACAAACTGTGTGCAAAGACCTTCCTCCCTGTGTCTCACCTCTTACTCGCACGTGACTAGCGCGGTCGATTAGTTATACGTGCGCGATCGGTGCCTAGTGCACAGGTGGATCCAACACTGGAACCTCTTTCTAAATCGATGATCGCGCACTAATCAATCCACCAAAACACACCAAACACAGCGAATTAAGATGAGATAGGAAAAACACGAACAAGAACACCAACAAACTCCTACCACGATGCATCACTATGTTGGATAGTGTGCTCTGACTGTAGCTCTCCTCCCCACACTGGGTGTGTTCTGCCACACGCCATCATGGGCCGCATTTCGAGCGCCGGATGCGCTAGCTGATTCCATCGGTCCCACGTTGGAATATGGACACGAGGATCTCCTCGTTAATGTGAATGGAATAAAAGAACGACGGTAAAGCAGAAGAAGGGAACGAAAACCGATTAAATCTCGTCGAGAATTGTTGTGTTATTGCGATGAACGAATCCTTCCACCCACGTTTAGCTGATTGTCGCTAATAAACTGCGTGAGGGCGCTGTTTGTGATGCCTTCGTCATAGCATCGGCAGGGTTATCTGCGCCGTTGACCCAACGGATTTCCGCAATATCCCTTGATTCATATGCCTGCCTCAGCGCCATGATATCTATCATGAGTCGCTTCTCTGTTGTGGTGCCAAGTTTGACGAGGCACTCATAGAGGCTATATGAATCTGTGCAAATGACGAGCGGATTTGCTTCAGATCAAGGCGTTGTGCGATCGTATTGACCGTTTGCTTGATCACAAATGCGAGATCGAAGCCCGATGTCAATCCATAGATCTCTGATGCAAGAACGCTTCGAGTAACGCGCTTGCATTTAGTTGAGCTCAATGAAGAATGTTTCCGCGGATGGAAAATGAATCGGTTGATTGCGCGGTCTCATTGGCGATGATAATCACAAAGCCGATTTGAGAGCTTAAATCCTTATTGTTGGCGAATGATCCATCGGTGAACACAAAGATCTTCGCGCTCTCGAGATCGATGGGTATGTAACATAGGCCACGGTCGGGATTGTTGATCTGCCATTCAATCCGCTTGTTCAAAGCCTTGAAGTCGGTATTAACGGGCTCTTGGGCTTGTGCCGCAACGGAACAATCGTATGTTGCTTCGGGTTGGCAAATCGAAGCGATATATGCCCCGGGCGCGTTGAGCAGCATAATCCTGATGCCTACTTGATGCCTGAAGATTGATCTCCTCGAGGTTTTGGGCTTGGCCCTTCTGCCTGACGATGACACAGCCATTTTGTATGGTCAGGCGGCTGCCGTTAAAGTCGCAGATGGAACCTTCTTGGAGAATCTCTTTTGGCTTGGCCTTAAAGCAGAGTTCTTTCTCCTCGATCTTGAGAAATGCATCTGTGCCAACAATGAATGTGTCATCCGTTTGCAAGGCCGCGATGCCAAACAGGTCCTTGTCGGCGATGTTGTTTGCCGTGATCAGAAGGCACGGGTCAAACGAAGAGGTTTCCATATTAAGCTTGCGGCAGTGATGGTCGTGATATGTGTTGAACCAGTGGGCTCCTGCCTCTGCGATGCCATATAGCGGCTTCACGATTCGCAGGATTGTTCCTCTGGATATCTTCTTTTGAGTTCTTGAGGAAGGGCTGCAAGGATGACACGGGCCAGCTTGGTCTGGGATTGTGTGTATGCCATCGTGATGTCTCTGATCATGATGAACATATCCCGTGTGCAGAGAAACGGTGCTAAGGCCAAGGCCACGCGTTGTGCGGGCCGGCTGATGGTAGGGGCTTGTGTGAGGATCCCACGTTTCCCATCATCATTGTATCCTTGCACAACGAGGCGTGATTTCTCGTATGGCGTTGCAGTATTTCTTCCTTAACCTCTCTGACCATTCGTGATTTGAAGACACGATATCCACCATGTTTATTCGCATCGAATTCTTCGGGTACAATGACCCCAGCGGCGAGGAGGTTCGTGAGCTCGAGTGTGTCGGAAGCTTCAAATGGGAAACCGGTGCTTGTGATCTTTCCTTCAGCTCGTAGCCGCTTGGCTAGGCCGAGATGTTCCATTTCTTTCGAACAAGAAACGCATTAGCTTCATGATGAACGATAAATTGAACGGGTGAGCAAACAATAGTGGATTCTGATGTGCCATTTTGTGCAGCATCCTTCCTAGGTCGGCCACGCCTGCGCGGCCTCTTTGGCTCAGGGTATTCGAAAGGTTTGGGTTGGTCTTCTGTGGTAGGAAGAGGAAGAGGTTGTTGAGTTGTGGGTGGAAGGGAAGAGGGTTTTGAAGAGGATGTTGTTGATCGGATTGTGTTGAGGAAGGAGTGATTGTTGTGTTGATGGGTCTGTGCGGCTAGGGCTAGGGTCGGGTTGCAACTGAGGAAGGAGCGATTCCGGGTGACGATAGTACGGTTGGACGCATGTACTGCGAAATTTCGCTGGTCCGTTGTCCAGGTCAACTGCGATTTCCGTATCCGTCACCTCGAGCACTTTATATGGGCCTTGCCATCCGTGCTTCTCGCGAAATACGCGAACTTCGCTTCCTAGCGCCAGGGATAGGGGCAGGCGCAACGCTGTATCAGGCCCATTACGCGTATTTAACGCGGTCTGAACCTTCCTCTGGGCGTTGATCTTCCTCAGCTCTGACATCGTTCGCCACACCGCCTTAGCTCTTGCCATTGCGGAAGGTGTAGGCGGCGAATCCATCGTCATTCGAGGCAGAGCACCGAAGACGAGGAGGGTTGGAACGAGGCCATCCGGACCGGCTGTGTCGTTGACAGCCTTGAAAGCCATTTGAAGGACTTGATCAGGGCTCACGGTATCCTTCAGCTCTGCCTTTAATATATCATATGCTCTTCGGACGGGCACATGATACTTCTCAACCTTCCCAACAGCCCAATGTGCTTCCACAGGCACCTGATGACACGTTATTCCCATCAATTTCGCTTCTGCTTGGAACTCGGCAGCAGCGAAATTCGTGCCTGCGTCATGAGTGATCACATCGGGTGGTCCAAGGTATGTATCCATCCAACATTGTTTCAACGCGAGCCACGTTTCCTTGGCCGTCATGTTGGATAGGAATCTCCTGCCTGATAGGCAGTGGCTTGATCAACAACATGGAGGACTGGTCTGCCACCCAATGTCATGACATCAACGATGACTTCGTAATTGAAGTCACAATCATCCTTCAAGCTGAACTTGAACCTTCGTGGCGGGTCGGATTTCATCTGACAGTAGTGGCAGAACTTCTTGATCATTTCCAGAGCTTCGATTTCCACATCATGGCCAGCCGAATTCAGCAGCTTGTGCAGCCGATACACGGATGGATGACCAAAACGCGTGTGGAGGCGCCGCAATTCAGCCTCCGTGAGATATGCCACTGATGCCTCTTGTTTCCGCAAGAAGAACCACGCGTGACCCCATCTTCGAATCACTGGAACGCTCACACCATTGCCAACGAGCTCGTTCGTGACGTTATTTAAATATACGCCGAGCCGATCCATATCAGCTAGGCATAGGAGGAATGGCGTTGGCACGTTGACTATATGAAAATCAACCTCTCCACTGGTGTGTTCAAGGTGATCACGCCAAGTGGTGTTTCCAATCTTCCTGCACCAAATCTAACTGGTTCGGGCTTGCGATCATCACGGAATTGGACTGGGGCATCTCTCGTTGGAGAGCACGCAGTTGTTCGATTCCTCCGTCGATATGCATGCCGCACCTGTGTCCGGCATGATTCCTTGGAA